ATCTTACCACACAACAAGCCGACCAGTGGTAAGCCTCCGCAAAGTCGTTTCGGACCCCCGACTACTAAATAGATTACTTGTCAGAGGGAGCACGAAGTTGAGGAAGTTCGAACTTTCGAGCACTTGTCAGGAGGAAGTTGCTCGGTGAAGCTGTAGCAACTTTAGCGTGTTCGTCTCGAACATGGTGTGGTGCACACCAACTCTCCATGACACCCCATCATCTTCCGATCTCACCCACACTTGCGAGACGACCCCCACCAATTACGTCATGGAGACCCCCGCCGCGCTGTCTACAGCTACGGACACTGCCGCGAACAGCTCTAGCAAAGGATCTACTTTGATCGGAGCTGTGCCCACTGTACCGACCGTCAAGACGCCGCTGGAACGACTCACGGAGGCAGTGGACGCGAACCCGCTGGACTTTAACTCGTGGGTCAGTCTACTGACGCTCGTACAGAGTGAGGTACGACGCTTGGGCTGCTTGTACCTGCTGCAAATAGTACTGCTATATTGACGGATAGCTGCCGTTTTCTGCCGTTGTAGGCGGAGACCTCCCGTGAGACGGTGGAGTCCATGTACGATCGCTTCTTAACAGAGTTCCCGCTGTGCTTTGGCTACTGGAACAAGGTACGGCTATAGGTCGACTATTCATTGATACGGTGACGTTTTCGCTCGTACCTCACGGTGTGGTGCTGTAGTTTGCACTGTACGAGCACGGACTTTGCAGTAAAATCACCGAGGACGGCGTCACGACTGTCGCGACGCCAGAAGAAGCGAAACAAAAGGCGCGCGAGGTGTACGAACGAGGCGTCGTGGCAGTCCGGTACAGCGTGGACATGTGGATGAAGTACTGTGAGTTTCTTATCCACAAGCTGCACAGCCCCGTAGACGAAACGCGACCGTGAGTATATATTCTTATGTGATGCTTTCGCCGTGCGGAGGATTTTATTTCTGGCCTTTTGTTGATGATATGTTGCTGGCGCAATGTAGAGTGCTGAAGCGAGCAGTGGAGGCGTGCGGAGCTGATCCCATGGCTGGTCCGTTGTGGGAGCTGTACATCCAGCTGGAGACAGTGAATGTACGTTGCGTTGACTTGCCAGTGTGCTTGCATAGTAATGATTCATATGGTTCTTGCATGTTCAGAATGACATGCCCCGTCTGAACCAAGTCTTCAAGTCGATTATGCACCAGCCGCTGCGCAATCTTGAGGAATTCTGGGAAAAATACAACCAGTTTGTGCTCGCCCAGCAATTGAATGTTCTGGCGACGCCTGAAGAGCTGAAGGCACTCGTCGACAGTGGCGAAGAGCTCATGGACGAAGGACTGCTGCGCGTCAAGATTGTAAATGTTGTGGAGGCAGTGAAGAACAAGACGATGGAGGATATCTACCGTCGACAGGCGTTCGAAGCCGGAATCGATCGAAGTTACTTTCACGTAACCCCAGTGGCTGAGTCTGCGATGAAGAATTGGCACAGTTATTTGGACTTTGAAGAAGCTTCTGGTAATGATGCGCGCTGCCAGACTCTGTATGAGCGCTGCCTCATTTCTTGCGCAAATTACGAAGAAATCTGGCTGCGTTACGTTCAGTGGAACGAAAAGATACATGGATTTGAAAGCGCTGACGCAGTGTTCCAACGCGCCGTGACGATCTTCCTCAAGTATCGCGCGAGTACACATTTAGAGTACGCTTCTTTCTTGGAGGCCCACAACAAGCTGCAAGAAGCTCAAGATGTGTACATGAAGGTTCTGTCCGATGTGGCCCCGAAGCTTGTAGAGGCATTCTTGCGCTACTGTAACTTTGAACGAAGACGGGGAGATGTCGAGACGGCTAAAACTTGGTTTGAGCGTGGAATGGATGCAGTCGAGAACGAGGCAGAGGCGTATGCGTATGTGGCTACTTCGTACGCCACGTTCCTCCAGAAGAGTGTTGGCGATGCAGCATCGGCTCGTGCAGTGTTCGATCGCGCGGTGCAGAAGCACGACGGGTCGGTACTGCTTTGGCTGAATTTCATTCACTTCGAGATCAACGCGGGTGGCACTAGTTCAGATCTCGTGCCCCGGGTCACCCGTGTTTACGAGCTTGCACTTGTGAATAGTTGCAGTCTCTCGGTGAACGAGAAAAATGACTTGTGGTTCCTATATGCAGAATTCCTCGAAAATTTTGGCGACAACGTTGCTCAAGTGCGCGATTTGCGCAGCAGGGAGATGGCGTGGAAGCTGCAGAATGCTCAGTCCCGTAACCGCACGATTAAGGTGCTTGACTTCCAGCCCGGAAAGGGCAGCAATGGGTACAACTCGCACCTAGACCCAGGGATGAAGCGTCCTCGTTATACAGCCCCGCAACCTCCAGTGGTCCTTTCTACCCCTGTGGCAGCAACGACACCCACCGCAGCAATAATGACAACACCGGTTGCGGCGTACTACCAAGGCTATCAGGTAACGCTCGCTTTTACTATTCCAGCATTTGCTCGCATGATACTCATGGAAACAGCTTGGGCAAAACGAGGCCCATATAGAACTAAATGGCGCGTCAATCCGCTACGAGAAGGAGCGACCGACTCCATGTCCTCTGTCAATGACACCAGCAAGATGTGGTCTGCACATGCTGCGACATGGGAGGAGGCAATGATTTTGCCCCGCTCGGAAACTTCGCTTTCGTTCTTGTTCGAGTGAATGTTGTCTTGGAGGGTATTCTGTCGACATGTCCATACTCATTCTGTGCGTGTTGTTGATGGTTCGTTGTAGGGATATGGAGCTCCGGTTCAGGCGTTCTCCCAAGCCAACCCCGCGGTTCCTGCGTGTCAACCGGCCTACACGCAGGCGCAATACTCCAGCTACTACCAACAGTAGCAAGATGATTCCGGCAGGGCAAGTCCAGTAATTTTGACGTGGAAAGCTATAATGGAACTTGAGCGAATGGTATACTGAAGTCTTTGCGTCACCATTTATAGAGAGAATGCAGTGCACGAAGGACTCGTTGATTTTTAATACAAATCTGCACGCAAACTGCGTTGGTCCGAATATGTTCTCGCGGCACCCTCCACTTGCTACTTGCCAATCATGTCTAACGCCTGTTTGCTCTTCAGGGTTTGCACTTGGGAAAGATGCACAAGTCGCAGCTTGGACAGCTCCTTCTGAATGCCTGACAGCGCCGTCGGTTTCACTAGTCGACACTCTGCGTAGCGCTGTTGCAGTACCTGAATTTCACGATATTGCTGCTGCATTAGACGGTGCAGTTGAAATGAGTGCTCCATCTTGATCTGCTCGGCTGATTTCGATCCCCTCGATGCTTTGCCATTGCCACTTTGAGAGCGTTGCCGCCCTCCTGCGGCAAGCTGCGCCTGCATCTGCTGCATTTTCTGTGTCGCTTGTGTCTGCTGTTGCTGGTTTGGCGTTGGACGCGCGACAAGCGTCAACGCGTTGAATGGAACCTGGAACAGCGCTTCGTGTTCGTCAATGTAGACAGAGTAAAGCTCTTGTCCGTATATCTGAGGGGCTGCAACTATACGCCCCATCTTGCCCGCCAAATTCCGGGCTCCACACGCGATCAGATCGGCAGTGTTCTGTCGAGGTAGAAAAGGCATCAGCAGCAAGCATGCAATGTCGTCAGCTTACGCAAGTTGCACACCGCACGAATTGACCGAGTCCACGTCACCGTACCCGGATGAGCACTGTCGTACCCACAACAAAGTCGGATCTCTTTGACGGTTGCTGCTGCTGCTGGGCGCTCTTCATTTGCTGCTGGTGCAGTTGAATTTGTGCTGGAGTCATCCGTCCCGTCGTTACTGAAGACGTCACCGTCGGTGTCGCCAACGTCGTCGATGGGATCACGGACGACACTGCTGGTATGCTAGGAGCTGGCTTGACTGCTACTGGCTGCGATCGGGGAAGCATTGCCTGCAATTGTAGGACCGCTGCTGGATTGAATGTAGCTTTGGTACTATCAACCGAGACCGCGCCCGGTCGCGAGGTGTACGTCATTGCACCGGTTGATGGCTTGACACTGCTGCCCGTTGACGTGCGTTTCTTGCGACTCAGAACAGCTTCGTACCCCTTGTAGGCCACTAGAGCTCTTCTCTTGAGGTTGTACGTCCTGCAACAAAAAGCACACAGTGTGGAGTCATGGGCACACAAACCGTGACATGGCTACATTTGCCACAAACCAAGGAGAGAGACCGACCGCAGCTTTGTGATGTCTTCGTTCTCCCGGACGACAGCAGCCACGTGGCCGAAGTATTGCGCGGCGTTCTTGGGATCGACAGTGACCGCACGTCGCGTCAAGAGGCCCTGCAACTGCCGCTGCGACGACGTCGACGGAGCTGATCCAGACGTGGCTAACATGATGCACGGACCGTGCGTGGCTGAGAAAAAAAGCACGACTATTTTTTGCCCCAGTGTACATTTTCCTCTTTTGACATCGATGCCAACAAAATAGTCCGTTCTTTTCGGACCTAATTGCCCAACCCAATTCCTTGAAGTGCTCGAGGCTCGAGAGACTAAACAACATGAGCGATGGCACGAAATTGGTCGGCGTGATCGGGGACGAAGATACAGTCACAGGCTTCATCCTCGCAGGCGTTGGCCACCGAACAGCTGAGGGCACCAACTTCCTCGTCGTGAAGCCCAGTACGTCTTGGCGCTGTGCGGCAGCGTCTCTCGACGCTTTTCCGTCTTCTTCTTCCCGCTAACGACCGTTTCGACACAAAATGTAGCCACTCCGATCTCTGCGATTGAAGCCAGCTTCCGGTCCCTCACAAGTCGCGACGACATTGCTATCCTTTTGATCAACCAGCACGTACGCCGTCACTTTCCGGTTCTTTGGGTCGTTGGTAGCGGAGCTTAGGTGCTCACGTGCTGCTTTGCTGCTTTGCTGCTTTACTGCTGGTACAGGTGGCTGAGGAAATCCGCCATCTTCTTAACACGTACGAGAAGACCATTCCAACGGTGCTGGAGATCCCAAGCAAAGACTCGCCTTACGATCCGACAAAGGATTACATCATGAAGCGTGTGAACCTCATGCTTGGGGAGTGAGGAGGGGCTGGATCGATCACTACATCGCAGCCGTGCAGAAGACGAGCAGCAGACTGATGTGCGAAAGTAACTCGGTAACGTGCTTGGTGTCCATGCGTTTGCATTGTCTTTGTACTTCCTGACGCCTTTGCTACGACGCGCTTGCAGTCCCGATCCTTCCACAGTTGCGGAACGCGCCTGCATCTTGACACACAGCGATAAACGCGAGAGTAGCGCTGAAACCGAACAACGCACTAGTACACGGCTGAGACCTCTTGTCTTGCTGTCCCCATTCGCTTGCAAAGTTTTAGCACCTCCATCCTGACCGGGCATGACTGCAACGCCACCGAGCGACATAGATTCACTGCCTACTGCTTCTTCTGGAGTGTGGCGGAGAGCCAGTCCAGACCCTCATACAGTCCGTCGCCCGTCGTCGCACAACACGCCTGGATGAACCACTGGCGGTGGCGCAGCCCGTGCAGCCCCAGCTTGTCCGTCATCTCGGCCGCGCTCATGGCGTTGGGCAGGTCCTGCTTGTTTGCAAACACCAGCAGCACCGAGTCCCGCAGCTCGTCTTCGTTCAGCATGCGGTGCAGCTCGTCGCGCGCCGCGTCCACACGGTCGCGATCGTTCGAGTCGACCACAAAGATCAGGCCTTGTGTGTTCTGGTAGTAGTGGCGCCACAGCGGACGGATCTTGTCCTGACCGCCGACGTCCCACACCGTGAAGCTAATGTTCTTGTACTCCACCGTCTCCACGTTGAATCCTGTCACACAGTCAGAGCCACCACAGCTTCAGTCAGACTGCTGTCACACGTGCCACTCAGCAGACACACGAGCACAGCAAACACACACATAGCCACACAAATACACACACAAGGACAAGAGCAACGCCCTGTCTGCTGTCGAGACAGACAGACAGACAGATAGACGGACAGACGGACATACAGCGACAAGCGCCAGCAGAGACGTCGCCCTCGTTGTGCTCCAATTGCTGCCTCAATCGTTGGCTACACCTACCGATCGTCGGGATCGTCGTGACCACTTCGCCCAGCTTGAGCTTGTACAGGATCGTGGTTTTGCCCGCCGCGTCGAGTCCGACCATGAGGATGCGCATCTCCTTCTTGCCGAAGAGGCGCTCAAACACGCGCGAGAAAGCCATGCCCATGATTGCAGACTTGGTGGTGGTATCGGCGGTACTGGCCACACTTTGGTGACGGCCGTCTTCAGCTGTCGCGATTCTTAAAGTGAGCTCCTCGAGCGAAGAAACGATACCCTTTTAGTTTACGCTCGGGACCCACCCACTTAAAACCTGCGAGATCGGATACTGTCAAGAACGTGTAAAACGCGCGCCGCCGCCTCATTGCAGGGCCTTTTTCCCCTCAAAACAAAAGTCGACTAGTCAGCTGCTGAAGCACTGACCTGCAAGAAGACAAGGCAGCGATGCGCGTTGTATGTTTATTTGTTGACCGTGAGCGATATGTACAAGTGATGGACCAACTATCTCTCCGAGCGCATGGACTTGGCAGACGGTGACGATATGTGCAGCGAAAAGTGGATTGGTGCAGCAGCAGTGTTTGGCAGACCAGCAGTGTAAATCAGCACGGAATTTTGCCACCGCGACATTGTTTACATGCAAGATACGCGAAGGGGACACGTGCGTCTTACATCGTACAAAATTGATGATACGAACAAGACTGTCAGGTAAATCTGTCGATTTACCTGTACGGCATGCAAGATTTCTGAAACACCATCAGCCTCTCGAGAACTACAAGCGACGATTCCTGACGCCTACAGATGCTGTCACTTATCGTCTGCTCATTAGACACGGTTGCTTCCTGAATCAGGGTAGTTGCGAGGCTTGAGATGATGCTATCGGCCCGATCCCTACTCTACCGTAGTTCCTTGATCGCGACTGCTCGCAGTAGTCGACGAACAGTGTGTTGCACCTCTGCGGTAACTTGTGCAGGTGTTATACTTTTTTGCTTGTAGATACTTCGATCCCTACAAGTCAAGAGATTCGTTACGCAGACCGAGCAAGCGATCCACCAGGTCCTTTACCAGGTCCGTCCGACGAGATCCATCGGACAGGTATCAGCTGCAACATTTGTCGAACCTGCGTTTGAACAAGGCCGCATGACCTCAAAGCAGATGAGTATAAGGTTTACCGAAATATAAGATGATGAGGGACCGTGCAGCAGCAGACCCGCCACCAATCGAACCCGGCCCATCCAGCCCAGCCCACCTTTATGTTTCTGATACCGCAACAAAGGTGCAAGTCGAGGCGGCGACCATCTGACTGTTCGTCGTGAGATCCGCCTCCATGGCGACGGCTCTTATGGGTCGGAAGGCACACACACGCTCCGAATCTGAACCCAGCAATCGAATCGAGGAATGGCAATCTCTCATGCAAAGGCCGAGGTAGCTCCCTACGTTGACTGATCGATACCATAGCAGCAGTTAGTGCCACACATGGCATATTCAATCTCGTGGCAACGCCTCTTCTTCGAGTGCCCCCTCTTGCAGCTTCTCTCCCAGCGTCTATTGCTGCAAGAACCCGTTGTGCAGCAAAGCACCGTACAGACTGAGTCGTGTGTACCTGAAATGCACCTCTTGCCAACTGTCCGTCAAACAAATGAGCAGAAACAATACGTACTAACACACGTCAAGCGCGTAAAAGGCAAAATCATAGCAGTACCAACTATCGAATCATCTAAAAATCGCTCCTCCTACCGGTCCATCCATGCATTGGGTACGTTCAGCCTCTGCTGTTTACTTTGCTTTCTGCAGTGTGGCCGAGAGCCAGTCCAGACCCTCATACAGTCCGTCGCCCGTCGTCGCACAACACGCCTGGATGAACCACTGGCGGTGGCGCAGCCCGTGCAGCCCCAGCTTGTCCGTCATCTCGGCCGCGCTCATGGCGTTGGGCAGGTCCTGCTTGTTTGCAAACACCAGCAGCACCGAGTCCCGCAGCTCGTCTTCGTTCAGCATGCGGTGCAGCTCGTCGCGCGCCGCGTCCACACGGTCGCGATCGTTCGAGTCGACCACAAAGATCAGGCCTTGTGTGTTCTGGTAGTAGTGGCGCCACAGCGGACGGATCTTGTCCTGACCGCCGACGTCCCACACCGTGAAGCTAATGTTCTTGTACTCCACCGTCTCCACGTTGAATCCTGTCACACAGTCAGAGCCACCACAGCTTCAGTCAGACTGCTGTCACACGTACCACTCAGCAGACACACGAGCACAGCAAACACACACATAGCCACACAAATACACACACAAGGACAAGAGCAACGCCCTGTCTGCTGTCGAGACAGACAGACAGACAGATAGACGGACAGACGGACATACAGCGACAAGCGCCAGCAGAGACGTCGCCCTCGTTGTGCTCCAATTGCTGCCTCAATCATTGGCTGCACCTACCGATCGTCGGGATCGTCGTGACCACTTCGCCCAGCTTGAGCTTGTACAGGATTGTGGTTTTGCCCGCCGCGTCGAGTCCGACCATGAGGATGCGCATCTCCTTCTTGCCGAAGAGGCGCTCAAACACGCGCGAGAAAGCCATGCCCATGATTGCAGACTTGGTGGATGATGCTACGCGCTCTCTCTCTCTCTCTCGGGCTTTTGCTTCTTGGGTCTCTTTCGGCGAATGAGGAGGGGGAACATGGGGGAGAGGTCGGGGCGATCAAACGACCTCGGACGGAATAGACGTACGAATTAGTAAAACCGCAAGCGTCAATGACCAATCAACGTCTGCCACCAAAGATTAACCCCTCGTTTTACCAGCGCCAAGCTCCTGGCTGACGCGCAGAGTCGCCGAAGATAACGTTTGCTAACCCCCGAATTTAGGAGCTCGAGCTCACGTGACCCAAACAAGGCAAGTAATTTAGGTTCATGGCCATCGAGCGGCTCCAACAAAAGCCAAAGGAACAGGAACGGTGAGGGTACGTTGTCGTCCGGTGCGCCTTTCCCGCTCATTGTGCATTTCCTCGACCATGTGCAGCCGCAGCGACGTCCGCCGCTTAATGTCCCTGTTGTTCTGTGTCTTGTGCTGCTGTCTACAGGACCGTAACGTGCTCACGCAGCGTGTAGATCCGTTGCAAACAATCTACAGTCTGTTGCTCTCTGCGTGATTGGTTGGCTTCCTCGCTCCGTCTGCAGCTCTGCCTCTTTCGCTCGCTCGCTCGCCCCCCCCTGTCCCTCCACCGCTCCCTCCCTCGCCGCTCCTCTGCCTCTGACTCCATTCGATCTGCCAATGGCATCGGAAGGCGCGGGAATGAAGCGCCAGTTTGACGGCGGCGACGACTTTGACCCGTCCAAGCGCAAGCGCAACGCGCAGCCGACATCGCGGGTAACGTCTTGACTGCTCTATGGGCTGTGTGTACTGCAGTGCTTTTGCTCGCGGTCGTGCGTGGTTCACCGACCTTTGCTCTCGCTGCTCACCCCTCTCTCTCTTGCTCTCTCTCTATCTGCTTTTCGTTGCTCTGCTCTGTATGTCCTGTTGTGCCCTGCCCTTGTCGCCAAGTAGGTGGTGTTTGTCTGTGGACTTCCTGCTGACTGCCTCGAGAGCGAGCTGCTGGCGCTCTGCTGCCCGTTTGCGGTGGTCGAGAAAAGCCTCATGGTTCCCCAGAAACGGCAAGCGTTCGTGCAGCTGCCCGACGTCACGTCCGCTGTCAACCTCGTCACTTTTTACCAGACACGCGACGCGCTCATCCGTGGCAAGAAAATCTTCTTTGACTTCAGCAATCGCAATGAAATCATCACGCATCAAGGAGGCGATGCCTCCTCTTCGTACCACCACGAGCAGCATCAGCAACGCCATCAACAGATCGGACCTCCGGGACTTCCAAGAGCCGCACCGTACCAGCAACCTATGTCCATGCAATATGCGCCACCACAAGACCAGCCTCCATTCGGTGAGTGAGAGGGTATTGCTAAGCTGCGTACAAGGGTGTTTGCTCAACGGTTTGGTTCTTGCAAGCAGGTCAGCGAGGCATGATAGCTCACGACGGCCCTCGTCGTGGCATTGGTCCACCGAACCAGATCCTCATGGTGTCGGTATCGAAGATCGAATACGACATCACTGTAGACGTCTTACAGCAGGTACGACGGCGGGGCACCAGTCGCGCGTAGCTTGTTTATCGTTGTACTCACCTGAAACTGTGCGTGCTGCAGGTTTTTCAGAAGTTTGGCAACGTACAGAAGATCGTTACGTTTTGGAAAAACAATGAGTTCAAGTCGCTTGTCCAGATGGAGTCAGTGGACCAAGCACAAGCTGCACAATCAGCGCTAGATGGTCGTGACATCTACACTGGCTGCAACCAGCTGAGCATCGTCTTTTCGCGTCACCCTGATCTCCACGTGCGCTACAATGACGATCGTTCGCGCGACTACACGAATCCGAATCTTCCTCCAGGCCCTGGTCGTGGCGGAGACGGCCGTGCTGAAAACGAGGGACCGCTGCCAGCTGCGCCTTTTGACGGACACGATGCCCCACGGGATAATGGATACAACAGTTCGTTTCCCCGTCGCGATGAGTACGCTTATCGCGAGCCTGGTCATGCTCCCAACATTGGACGAGGCGATCAATACGCTCCAGACACTCGTGATGGCCGCGGTCCGCCATTTCGACGTGATGACCGCCATCCGGATGCCGAGAGACCTCGCGACGATCGTGGTGGGCGCGAATTGCCTGCCCATTCGACGGGGCGAGCCGTCCGAGGGGACACTCGTCCATCGCCTGCCTTGATCTGCAGCAATATCGATCACAAACTGGTGGTGGGTGCTTACACTCGTTTTGTGTGCATTGATTACCACTAAGTAACGTTGTTGTACGTACGTGGCAGAACCCGCACCGCCTATTCACGCTATTCGGCTGTTTCGGAGACGTCCTTCGTATCAAGATCATGTTCCGCAAGCGCGATACGGCGTTGATCCAGTTCGTCGACGATGTCCATGTAAGTGGTTTGCAACATTGCCTTACTGTGTCATTTCTTCAGGTCCTCGTTTCTGTCACTCACATGCTTTTCATTGTCGTGTCGGCGCGATCGCAATGTGCCATTCTACTGACGTTACGACTGGTTCATATCATCGCGACGTCGCGATTGTCAGTCAACCTCGGCTCTGGATCACCTGGATGGTGTCTACGTTTTCGGCAAAAAGCTGCGTGTGGACTACTCGAAGCACGCGAGTGTGTCAATGCCCCACGCAGACGCGGACCGTTTCGAGATCGAGAATACGCTTGACTTTTCAGGCTCGCCACTCCATCGCTACCGACGTCGAGGTCCTCAAGAGGCGGTCTCTCCCTGTCCGTTACTGCACATGTCAGGCATTCCCATGGAGCTGCAGAACAACCAGAACGCAGTTGTGGAACTGTTCGCGCAGTACGGCTTTGTCAAGAACTTCCACTACCTGCAGAACAACCCCAGAATGGCACTGGTTGAGATGGGATCTGTGGACGAAGCTATCATGGCACTTCTTCGTCTCGACAACATGACATACCCGGACTCGCACATGCGCATATCCTTCTCCAGAGCCTACCAGTTTTCTGCTGGAAACGGCGACAGTGGCCCTGCTCCTCGTCTTGGTCCTATGTCTGCCCCTGGGGCTGCTGCAGGCGGCTGGAACCAACCAATGCAGTCGCGTCCAAGAGACCGAAGCCGCGATCGCAGCCGCAATCGTGACAGAGGCCCACCTGGGATGGGAAATCGAGACCGGTCGCCACGAGACCGAGGCCCGCTGCCACCGCAGCGAGGGCGTGACTACCCACAGCGCGACAACTCCCGTCGCCCTCCTGCGCGCTATTGATCGCACTTTCTTGCAGCCCCGAAAGCCTCTCCGTCCTCATTGACACCTGTGGGACGTCTGTCTTTAACATCTTCTCTCGTAACTGAATGCGACGAGGCACCTGCTGGCATTCAGTTGCTTGGCAATGTTGTGACGGCGCCCATCGCTCTCGACTGATCGTAGTCCTGGTAAACAAACATGAACACGCATGGTTTTGTCTTTCACCGCGACGCGTCCCAGTTACTGATTGACACTTGACATCAGGCTGTATTTGCGCTGCCAGCTGGACGGTCTTCACAGGTTTACTGCACCGCTCACATCCGCTACTATAGCTGGAGCAGGCGGTCCCCGATCCAGACCAGCAGCGGGCTGGCCACGAATGTTGTTCTGACGATGATCGTCCTTCGTGTCTGCTTCTCCATTATAGCACGTGTCGGCAGCACTCTTCACACGCGATACAGCCATAGGTGCAGCCGTCGTATCTGCAGCAGTCAGAGCTTGCAGCTTACGCTTTTTCTTTTTCTCCACACGCTGGATCATATCCTTGTCCATGTGCAGCACATTCCAGCATATTTTGTGGTGCTCTTCACCCGGATACTTACGCGGTCGGATGCACACCGACCGTTGGCAGCAGGCACAATAGTGAGCGGTGTTGCAGCGGAGCCCGCGAAAGTAGCACACGGAGCAGCGTCCATATCGCTTATCGCGACCACAACTGCCATACATCACCGGGTAATCTTCCGCGTCCACTCCGCGCTGCGGTTTTAGGATCGCTCCTATGGATAAGTCAGTATCACCACCACTTGTGACCAGACGATCCACCGAAAGCAGTCCTTGATGCGAAAGCGCTCGATGACTGACATTTTGTGGGTTCTTATCAGCTGCCTGCAGCTCACGAAGCGGATGGCCTTCGAAAGTCCAGAGAGCGTTCATCGGGTCTTTCACTCCGCCTAGTGCCATGGAGCTGTCGTTTGTATCGGGTATCCCATCCATACTTGGCACAGCTGTCACCGGATCAACGACGCCACAAGAAGGAGACGAGGTCGGTGCAGTCGAGGTTTCTACCGGTGGATCCGGTCGTGCCATCTCGGTCACTACTGTAGTGACGAAAGGTGGAAGCAGCGGCCGAGATGGTGACGACGATACAGAAGGTGGAAGCAGTGGCCGAGAAGGTGACGGCAACGCAGGAGGTGGAAGCAGCGGCTGAGTTGGTGACGATAACTCAGGAGGTAGAACCGTCGGCTGAGTAGGCGACGACAATGCAGCACGCACAGCCGCTGGCCCGACTGTATCCACATCGCCAGTCTGCTGATGCTGTTGCTGTCCTGGTGGGGAACAAGCAAAAAAACGAACAGAGTGAATCAAGGGATCCTCCTTCTTGGGTTGCAAGTACGTGGCAGTAGCTTACCTTCGTGGTACCGTCGTTTGGCCAGTGCAAAGATCTTCTCCATGCGATGCGGTTCCAACGTGTAAGCCTGATCAGGTAGAAAGATACACAACCGGACAGATACACAACCAGACAGACACAGACAGACAGACGCGGGGCAGCGTTCAAAACGAGATGAGAGGCGATCAAGCGTGCCGGTAAAGACCATGTCGACTACCGTACACTCTGCACGAGCTCTGCGAGGTCGTGGTCGTCCATGCTCTTGAGGAACTTGCCGAGCGAAGGGCCGGCTCCCATGCTTCGAGCAGTGGAGAGGTTCGCCCCGTCTCTAGGTTCGCGCCGAGGGAATCGAACCTAGACAGCCACCCTCCATCGGCTCAAGCTACAAAACCGTACACAGAAAAAGGGCGTTTTCCAGCTATTGTGCGTCAGAGCGATGCGACTCTGACCTCTCTGGCTTGTTGCCCGACCTAGAGAATGGCTTCCTATGCTGCCGCGAGTTGAAGTCGTGAGCCCGGCGTCTTCTTGAGCACGACACGAAGATCGATGCGGGCGGAACGTGAAGTTGGCCCGGCTACTACCCCTCTGTTGCCTCGCCGCCCGTCGTCGGTCGCAGATGGCGTCAGTGGCCCGCAGCTGGCTCCAGCACCTGCTCTTGCAACCGCTGCGCCGACTAACGGCCACGTGCACTTTGGCGCCCCATCGGATCCAGCAGTCGACCGTACAAAACGGCGCTCTGCTCCACACGCTTTGCCTTCCACAGATAGAAACAGAGAGAGAGGAAGGAGAGAGAGAGAAAGGAGAGAGGGAGGAAGAGAGAGGGAGAAGGTGAGGGAAACAAAGAGAGACACGTCGGTGCACGGACAGTCTGATCGCTGCATCAGCGGTCTTGACGCCTGCTCACTGATCCGTCTGGCTGGCTGGCTGTCTGGCTAACTGACTGACTGACTGACTGTCTGACTAATTGTCGAACTATCTAACTGGTTAACTGTCTGTCGATCGAAATCGGTTGGACAGACCGATTGGCAGCGTATCCCGCACGCGTGGATTTGATCACTCGATCACTCGATCGATCGTCGACCGATACGTCTCGCGAGCACGCGAACGTGGCAGACACAGACTGACTGGCGACGCATGCCGAGCAGCGTCCGCGTCGTTGGTGCTGATGCCGTGGGCAAGACGAGCTTCGTGCTGGCACTGGGGGCCAAGGAGCAGGCGTTACGGGGCTGCCACGGGGCGCAGCAGTACAGTTGGGCACGAAGTGGACGGCGTAGCAAGACGACGGTGCGCATCGTGCGCAGTCGAGAGGAGCTGTTGCACGGTCGTAACGACACTGCTGGCAATGATGACGATGACGAAGTGGTTGTGCTGCTCTTTGACCTCACACGGCGGGACTCGCTCGCGGCTGTTACCGCGCAGTGGGGCCACTTGTCGGACAGTACGGGACGGAAGTTGCTGCTACTGGTGGGCACCCACGCAGACTGCACGAGCACGCGGAGAGTGTCGCCGGCCGAAGTGCGCGAGATCTCGGGGGACTTCCACGCGTACGAGGAGGTGTGCTGTCGCCCGGGCCATCGTGGGGACAAGGGAATGCTCCGTGTACAGCTCACGTTGACCCAGTGGATCGGTGGTGGGTCTGCAGGAATGGCGAGCGATCTCCCGCTTGCCCGAGCTTCGATCTCCGGCGGCTTCCCTCGACCCGTTGTGACCATGATGATGCCTACCGGTGCATCGCGCAGTTTGCCACGATCGCCTACAGGTCAACAGCATCTGCGAATGCCCGTAGCAGACGAACGGCTTTCGACTGCCGAGAACGAGTTGTCCGGTCTTGAGGCAGGAGGTGCGGGTGCGGGCGACGTCAAGCTACGCACGATTTCCAAAGCTATCTACGACATCCGCAGTGCAGTGGCTGAGAAGAGCAAAGTGCTGGCCAAGTATCGCGACCGACGAGTGACTCACTGGCTGACACGGAGCCGGTACTTTGGCCCGACGGAGAGCAGTCGCCACAAGCGATGGCACGAGGAACAGAAGAAACGACAGCTGCTGACCCAATGTCATGTGCACTACCACCACGGCGGCCAGATGCTGCGTCAGCCGAATAGCCTCGATGCGTGCTCGCAGGACGAACGTGGACGGAGTGCTAGCTACCCTGACAAACGTGAAGTACCGGGTCGGCAGCAAAGCTCTGCGCAGCACGGCCCCGAGCTCTTTTCGAGCCCGAGCTCGAGCGAGAGCGAAAGCGACGAGAGCCCAGCACTGTGCTTGGAGCAAAAGGGTTTCGCGCAGCCGACCGGGCGAACAAGGCAACGACATCTCGATGCCGATGCTGCACAGGCGCAGAAAAAACGCCTCGCGGCTAAACGCGCACTGCGAAAGCAACGGCGCACAGCATCTGACGATATGTACGAGCAAAGCGCCGCCTCCCCTGCGATCTTTGACTCGTATCTGAACTGCTACGACGAGATGGACGTGCCCTCGCAGCTGCAGCCGTCTTTGCTCTCGCTGGACCGACGGAAGCCATACCTATCACGACCATCGCTTTTCTCGACAAGCAGCAAAAGCTCGACGAGCCAAGAGCACGTGTCGTTTGAGGCGGGCGGGTTGACGTCGACCGGAGTGCAGCACTCGGTCGAGGAGTCGTCCCGCGGAGCTGAACCAGTGGACTGCATGCCAATGGCCACGCTTGTCCTGTCTCCGCCCGTTCCAAGAATCATGGATCTGTCAGTCCCGTCGCGTCGACCGTCATTGGTGTAGAGCCATCACGGTGTCGCTGGCACTCCCAAGAGCAGAACACTGGGCAGGGTACGGCGCTGGATTCGATGTCACTGGCCAAGAGGCGTCTGCAGTCGTCGCATGGTCTCGAGTCGTGTCCTGCGACTGCGACCGACAGCACTGTTTCTACGACGCCTGCTTCACCACGTGCTACAACGCGTAGCGACACAAGTGTAAGCTGAGCCCACGTCAACTCTCGCAAAAAAAATAGGCCGACAACCGTTGCCCGCAGCAACATCGACGCGATGTGCACGTGTACAGTTGAAGGCGTGACGCGACTGCGCTGCCGCTATCTCATGGCCACGCACGAAACTACAAAGTGCGACTCGATCCAAGCCGGACGAGAAACTGCTGTATCCTATTGAATAGCATACCCCACACAACCTAATCGTAGTATTCGATACAAAAATAGCACTCCAGACAGTAAAAGTAGTGCGACTAATAATAGTAGTCGCACATTATTGGTCCAAACGCTGTGGCGTACCCATTTCAACCAGCAATGCGACGCCACCTGTGCGGCCGCTCCGTCGCTGTCCTTGCGCGTCAGTATGCCACCGCTGTTGCTGCATTCAGCACACAGAGTGACAGCCAACGCGGCGTCTACGCGCTCGAAACGATCTACGCGCTGTGCTCTGCGCCTGGTAAAGCCGGCGTCGCAGTCGTCCGCATCTCTGGCGACCAGGCAGATACTTGTCTACAGCAGCTGAGCAGGTCCACGGCGCTGCCCGAGCCTCGAGTGTGCGTTGATTGCGTGTCGTTGTGTGTCGATTGGTGGCGACGCTCGAGAGCGTTCGTGCTGGTCCTGACTGTGGCGTCGATGGATGACATGTTGCGAGATAGCGCCGCACTGCGAAAGCTCTTCCACCCAACGACAAAGGAACATCTGGACGATGCCCTAGTGCTGCGGTTTCCACGCCCAAAGAGGTGGCAAGAGAGGGTGAAATGTGGGAGCAATGTGTTGCTGCGTGGTGCTGACGGTTGGATGCTGGTGCGTGACTAGTTTCACAGGAGAAGACGTCGTGGAGCTCCACACACATGGAGGCGTTGCTGTGATTGCTGGTGTTTTAGAAGCACTGAGTCATGTGCCTGTGAGTGCTTGGTTGAGTTGCTGTCTTTCGTAGAAGAGGAGCTGCCACCGTGACTTGGTGTACTTGTGCCGTGGAACTAGCGTTGCCGTGCCGCTGAAGCGGGAGAGTTTACCGAACGCGCGTTTGACAACAACAAGATCGATTTGGTGCAAGTGGAGGGACTGGCGGACTTGCTGAGTGCGGAGACTGAAGCCCAGCGTGAACAAGCACTTCGGCAGCTGTCGGGTGATATCGGAGAGATCTATGAAGGCTGGCGCGACAGTCTTGTCAAGTGTCTAGCCTACGTAGAGGCGATGATCGACTTTGGTGACGATGAGGATGATGTCACAGATGCTGCCTATCGGGCTGCCATCGATCGGTACGCGTGCGGCGACACAAGTTCCGGCGCTTATGGAGACAGCTGTGCTGATCGGTAGCTTCTCTGTTGTCGGTACAGTGTTCGCGTGCTTGCAGATTCGATCCGAGGTCATCTGGCCGACGGCAGGAGGGGGAGATCTTGCGCAGCGGAGTCCAAGTAGCTATTGTTGGTCCACCGAATGCGGGCAAGAGCAGTTTGCTGAATGTGCTTGCGCGCCGACCTGCAGCAATCGTGTCATCCATTGCTGGAACGACACGAGATGTAGTGCAAGTGCCGTTGAACATCGTGGGCTATCCTGTACTCATCAGTGACACTGCAGGGCTGCGCGAAACACAGGATCTTGTCGAAAGAGAAGGCGTTTTGAGGGCTCAGACGTGTGCCAGTGAAGCAGACATATGCGTGGTTGTGCTGGATGTACAGGTATGCAAGAAGGCGTTATGATGATACCGTTCGTTCAATTGAGTAACCACAATGTGTTGTGTAGCATGCTAATCAGCTGCAGACGAGCGCATTCCAGTCCTACCTGAAGGGAGGTGCCATCGTCGTGCTGAATAAAAGTGATCAGGTGGATGACGAAACGGTCGGACATGTAGTGAGTGCTTTTGACGCCAAAACACGCGACCAGCTTGTCGTCATCTCCTGTGTAGACGGGGACAACATTGACGTCTTTGTTGACAAGCTAGCGAGTTCAGTGAAGGAGAAGTACGTGTACGCAGGAACTTGCAGCGAAAGCTATGATGGTGACTTGTTGTTGGTGTGCATTTGGTAACAGGTTGAAGGTCTCGGCTGGAGGAAGGTCTTCCAGCGATGCACTGATCACACGAGAGCGTCATCGACAGAACCTCGTGGAGTGTCTAGCGTGCTTGGACCAGTTCTTGGCTGATCCTTACCAAAGCGAAATTGCTGCTGAAGGTCTCCGCCGAGCGGTCGCGGCGATTGGCCGTATCCTCGGTCGGATCGACGTCGAAGATGTTCTGGATGTGCTCTTTGCCGATTTCTGTATTGGAAAATAGAGGACCACCTTGTCTTGCACAGGCGACGAGTCGGAGTTTTTCGGTTGTTTGACTATGCTCGCAGGGCAGCGTACACTGCAGGGTGCACAGATCGGGCAACCAGGAACACTAAACATGCATCAAGCTGGGCCGTTCGTGATGTAAGGACTGTTCAAGCGTATCCAACATCCAATCATCAAAGGAACTCAAAGCGTCGTAGTTCCTGCCTTGAACTGCGTTGGGCTCGCGATTGTGTACGGCAAGTGATCAGGCGATGAGGTGAATCTCGATACGTTTTTGTCTCGGTTGTCGTGCTAAAGAGCACACAACATTCAGACGAAGGCCCTGTGCTTGTAGCCAGCTCCTTGCACGCCGAAGAAGACGGAGTGAGCCATCGTGAGGTATGTGCGCGTGTTTGGTCGCAATGTCACGCTCACTTCTTGTGCAGTTGTGCGATTTCACGGCCACACTTGATGTTGTCTCAGGAACACGCACGTCGCGAGGACACGCGGTTGTTGCAACTGTTTCGGACTCTGCATCCGAGTTGGGATCGGTGCGTTGTGTCTTGTCGGACTTGACCGACCTCTGCAGGCGTCGCTGCTTGTCAGCCCAAGCAGGTCACGCACAGAACATTGCCAGTCGCTTTCCAGGGCATACAGCCGCAAGTACACGAATGGCTGAGCCACTGCACCCGAGCGAGTCCGAGTGGCGCCCGTGGAACACTGGATCGACTGCAAGACTCGAGACAAGTCCTGACTTAGAAGGGCATTGCATGCAACCGCACAATGGACGACGAGGAGCCGGGGTGAAGAGCAAACAAAGGCGGACAACGCAGAGCTCTCAGATTGTACTCGTTGCCGATATGTGTCCACTTACATCGAGCAGCACGTCAAGCATCGGGTCTCAGTGGCTCTGCTTCGGCTCAGCTTTAAATTCTTCAGCCACAATCGCAACGCCTTTGGCAGCCAAAAGCGTCACAAGGTGTACACCAGTCGCACGCCGAGGCGAACAAGTACTACAGTATCACTTATCTTCTTGGTAGCAAGTGGCACTGTGCGCCATTGGCTCCTTTGTGCCCCACATGAGTGACGTCGCGCCCAAGACACTGTACTGCATCCGCCACGGAGAGTCCACGTACAACGAATGGCGCAAGAACAGTTTCTGGAACTTCTCGTGGCTGTGGGTGCGCGACCCGATGATCGTTGACGCACCACTGAGCGACAAGGGGAAGAAACAGGTCGCGTACGCTGTGATCGAGCGACGACGCACACACCCGTTGATCAATGGGACTGATGGGCTTTTGTTATGTGTTTTGAATGGAGACGCAGGCGCTGGAACTCCATGAACTGATCACTGGAAAGCAGTTGGAAGCGAAGATCCAAGTGGTACAGCGCACGTTGTCGTACTTGAGCTGTGGGGCAGCGAGAGCCCACTCACGTTATTCTGCCTGCGATGTCATGTTCCACGTAGATCATAACGAGTCCATTGACGCGAGCGATTGAGACGACAATTGGCGCATTTCCAGACACGAAGGTCCCCATCATTGGTACAACATGCTGACATCTCTTGGAGGGCATATCGTTGACTTGATGGTACTGATGCACTCGAATGCACTCGAATGTTGTTGCAGTCGAGCCTTCGTGTCGGGAGATGCTAGACACTGCCTGCGACATCGGTCGTGTACCCACCGACTTGGCCCAGCAGTTTCTTCGTCGAGACGACATTGACTTTTCCTCGCTGGATCCGTGTTGGTGGCTAGAGACGGGCAAGTTCATGCCGCACGAAGAGGGGCAAGCACTGCCAGCCAGCATCGTAGCGCCAAAGACGCCGGACGAAGTGAGGGTGCTGCGTGAGACTGTCGAGGAGCTGGACGCACGGATTCGAGCGTTTGTGTTGAAGCTGCGAGCGCGACCAGAGCAGCACATTGCCATTGTCGGCCACTCGTCGTACTTCAAACGCATGCTGGCAATGAACCGCAAACTCAACAACTGTGAGCTGCATGAGACGTCTCTGGGTGACATTCAGCTGCGTGACGCACAGCAGTAGCGCGACAGCGAGCGCCAATGGTTCACATGCTCTCAAGGTACCCAACTGCTCCAACAGTGTCGACAAGGCCAGCGCTTCACGTGTATTTGCTGGTTCGGACAGCTCTTTTTCCTGCGGTTCACGATGTGCTGACGTCCCGTGCGTGACTCGTCTCCCGTTTGCCGGCCCGACACATGTGCATCACAAACGCAGTGAGCACTGGACACACTCCTTTTCCTTCCGCCGTCTGTAGCCATAGAACGTGAGAACCATCTGACCAGTTGCAAAGTGTCCCATAACAACGACCTATTGCATCGATTCGCTATCGTTATCGTACCACCACATCCATAGCCCGTGACGAGCGCAGCTTTACAAAATAGTACTACACTTCAACGTGGCTCAACCCTTCGATCGTGAATTGGCCAAAGTACTACTTTTGTTCGCATTGAGTTCGCTGCGCTTCTCTATTCACATTCGACCCATGTAAGTGACGTCAGTGAGGACTACTAACGCGTCTCTCTCTCTCTCTCCTCACGTCGCGCTGTGCTGTGCTGTGCTGTGCTGTGCTTCCACCAGGTCTGCGCGTCAAGCAAAGCGTCTGGCTAAGGAGCGGGCGGCCGAGGCGCACGTGCTGCGTGACGAGGAAGAAAACAGGGAAGAGGACGACGAGGAGGACGACGAGGAATTGCTGGCGGAGAACAAACGGGCAGCCACTATGGGCTTTGCGTTCTTAGCTGACTCAGACTCGGACTCCGAAACGAGCGACAGCATGGAGGAAGAAGGCCGAGACGACGGTCAGGAGAAGGAGTGCGGAGAAGAAGATGAGACGGAGAGCTCAGTAGTGGAAGTGGTGACTCCGGTGCCTCCTACGGAGAAACCAAAGAAGACAAAGAAGAAAAACAAGTGAGAAGCCGAAGCTGTGTACCGCTTGTGTACCGATTGCGACGCGCGCTCACTCGTTGTGAACGTGGCATTGAGTCTGTAGGAACAGTAAGAAGAAGGACAAGCGACAAAAGGGTCGAGAAGAGAGAGAAGAAGAGGACGAGGAGAAGCAGTCGGTGGACGACATTCTGGACGCGTTGGCCGCAGATAAGTGGCGTGTCGACGACGCCACGTCCAGTTGCAATGATGTCGTGCAGTCGCTGTTTAGCGTGCAGCTCCAATTTGCGAACGCTGATAAGGAGATGAAGCGCATTTTTGGGGTACGCCCGCGGTCGTCGCTTGACAGGTCGATACGGTTGCTTGCCGTTCAGTGTGGCTGACACACTTGTGTGTATAGGTAAAGCACGGCAGTCACGGCAACAACCGAAGACGAGGTGATCCACGGTACGAGGAGACGAGTGGTTGGTATTGTTACGCTACATTGGACGAGGCGGAACAGCTCACGACTTGTTGTGGTGGCGGCTACTTAGGAGTGCGCGAGTGTCGACGAAGAAGGTTATGTTAGTATTGCCCTCAGATGAATGGCCTCGTCCACCCACGTTTGTTGCTGGTGGTATTCGCTGGACACGATCGAACAAGCCTAAGGGTGCTGGCTGGAACAGTTTGTGCAATTACTTTGAACTCACGTGGTCAATGGCGTACAAGAAGGTAGGAGTTATGGTCGCCAATGCTGTCGCGTAGCGGCGTTCCGATGTGACGCTGACTGATGTGCGACGTGCGATCTGTATGCTGATAGTTGCAAGAAGAATTTGAGCTTCTTCAACAGACACATGACCCGAACCTCGTCGCCCACTTTTTGCAGCGCAACCCATACCATATTGATGCGTTGCTTACGATGAGTGAGGTGTACCAGCACCACGGTCAGATGGACCACGCAGCTGACTGTATCAAGCGGTGTGTATACATGCTGGAGCTTGCGTGGACGGACCAGTTCGATGTGTCAAAGGGCAACTGTCGCATGGACGTCCAAACAGAGCACAACACGGGCTTCTTTAGGGCGTTGTTTTTGCTGATGAAGCAAGTTGGGCGACGTGGATGCACGCGAAGTGCCTTTGAGACAGCCAAGTTGCTGCTCAGTCTGGATCCTCAAGGGGACCCGATGAACGTACTTTTGACGATCGACTACTATGCGCTGACGTCTCGCCAGTGTCAGTTCCTCATTGACTTGGTCGATTCCAAGACACCAGCTGTAGACAGATTTGCGGACAGTGATACGGACCATAAGAAGAGCAGCAAGACTGCTTCTCCAGGCGCGTCAGACACCATTGCGGCATTGCCGAACTTGCAGTTTTCGATTGCGCTCGCCCAGTAATTATTGCCAAAGAGTGAAGGTGTCACGTCAGTCCAACACTCACACTGTGTTGTTTGTTTGTATGTTCGTCACAGTTTCTTCCTGGGCAACGCGACAGAAGCGAGAGACCGGCTGGCTGCAGCGTTGCTCAAGTTCCCGACTGTCCTGAAACCACTGCTGGCAAAGATCGCTGTTAATCCGTCCTCGTGTACGCTGTTCGTACCCGTCTTTCTTGTGCTTGACACTGTGCTCACACTCGTTGCGTGTACCAGCTTCGTGGCATCCAATCTTGTCGAGTCGCGTATTTGCCAATGCTCGAAGTATCGATGGAAAGCCCGGCGCGCTCCAGCATTTGTTGGACATTTATGTCACGAGAAACTTCTCGCTATGGAAAGTAGTCGACGTGCAGATATTTCTGCGCCGTAGTGCGCAGCACGCTGTTGACACTCCATCCCTGGTCTCTGCGAATCCGCAGGTGATGGAGCTGCCGTCGTGCTTGGACAAGTACCTTCGTGCTGTCAGTGCTGGTACGAATGATGGAATTGTTTGTGGCGGTGATAAACGCTGAGCTAATAGTCTGACTGTTCGTTTGCACCCGTGACTAGACTACTCGGATGAGGTCACCACGCTGCCAGCTGACCACCCGATGCTGCAGCCACCGCAGCATCAGCCTGATCAGCCACTGAACGCTGAGGCTCTTGCTGCGCTTGTACACGCACAAGAGGAGGTTGAAGCAGGCAACTTACCAGCCGATGCCAATCCACTGCTGCTGTTTCTGCAGACGATGCTGCCGTGGAACCACGTGCAAGGCGCAGGTCAGCAGCAATAGCGGCTTGTGCAGCAGTGAATTGGATCGTGTGTCGGATGTCGCGACGATAATGGTATCGTCGTGTGTCGCACAAATGGCGTCATCGTCGCGCGAATGACTGGATCGTGCAAGTAACTTGCACGACTCAAGTTGTGGATTCGACGTCAAGGCGTGTTGTTGCTGCTGGTGACCGCTGGCTTTCCCACGATTGCGTCGCTGTCAATGATCGACAAGGACGCCGTGCACGTGACGTAACGCAGATGTTACCCAATTTGTCGTTCGCCTCGATATTCTACGGTCCTCCATGCGCGTATGAAAGGTATTGATCGTTCTAAACCTAACGCATGGTCTAAAAATTCCGCGGCCATTCACAGTCGGTAGCGCTAGTCCTTTCAGTGCCGAAAGTATCCGATTCTGCAATGAATTTTACTGGATTTTGTGTCTGGATTTTTTCCTCGTCTCTTTTTTTGCGCGTCACCAATTTCAAGGGCCTCAACAACCCCTTCACTCGGAATTTATAGACCTCATGGGCAATAGTGGCAGTACCAGCGGCGCCGCGAACGCGCGTCCGCACGGCAAGCGCAACAACGCGTCGCATCGACGTGCACAGCAGCAGAAAGCCCAAGAAGCTGCTGCAGCACTATCGGCTGCCAGTTCCGCCGCGACGCCGTCGGCGAACGCGCGCCGCAATCCGCAGACGCGCAAGGCCGCCAAGGATTTGGTACGTTGTTGTTACGCGTGACTTGTGTGTTTGGGTGGACCTAAAATCGCTGGACTATTTTATGCATCGACTAAAATATAAAAAATATGGTCACTGTTTTTTGTGTGTACTGACACAAAATTGGTCGTGCTGGTACAGATCACCGGCACTTTGTGCGACGTGAACGAGTCGTACGCTATTGAAAAGAAGGAGCTCGGCCACGGCCATTATGGCACTGTCCGTGTGGGCGTGAGCAAAGCGACGGGCAAGAAGGTGGCCATTAAGACCATTCCCAAGGCTAAAGTGAGTCGGCCCGAGACGATGCGACGGGAGATCAGTATCCTGAAAACCCTCGACCATCCCAACATCATCAAGCTCTACGACGTGTGCGAGGGCCATCGCCACTTACATCTAGTGACGGAGCTCTGCACGGGCGGAGAGCTCTTTGACCGCATCATTGCACGTGGTCACTACAGTGAGGCCGATGCTGCTGTGCTGGTGCTCAAGATTTGCGACGCGGTCAAGCACTGCCACGATCGCGACATTTGCCACCGCGACCTGAAGCCGGAGAACTTTCTCTTTGCCACCAAAGCAGAGGACGCAGAGCTCAAGGTCATTGACTTTGGGCTGTCACGCATGGACGACGGCTTGAGTGCGGGTGTCATGACCACGCGCGTGGGTACGCCCTACTACATTGCACCCGAAGTGCTGGGACGTCACTACGACAAGTCGTGCGATCTGTGGAGTATCGGGGTCATTATGTACATCTTGCTCTGCGGTTACCCGCCGTTTTACGGCGACACGGACCCTGAGATCTTTGCCTCCGTTCGCGCTGGGCGCTACGACTTTGATTCACCCGAATGGACGAACGTGAGCGCCGATGCGAAGGACCTCATCAGCCGTCTCCTGCTTGTGGATGCTTCGAAGCGACTGACGGCCGCAGAGGTGCTGCAGCACCCATGGATCTCTGGATCAGCACCGAGGTCGAGCATGACGCTGAACCCGAACATTTTCTCCAGCTTGAAGCGCTTCACAGGCAACAACAAGCTCAAGAAGGCAGCTCTCGGTGTTATCGCAGACCTGGCCACGGAGGGCGAGATTGCTGAATTGAAGAACGAGTTCATGGCAATCGATACTGACGGCAACGGGGTGATCACAGTGTCTGAGCTTGCAGAGGCGCTGCGTGACACCGGTCTCGGTATGATCGAAGAGGAGGTGCTGGAACTCGTGAAAGGCATCGACATTGACGGCGATGGGCTTGTCGACTACCCGGAGTTCCTTGCAGCTACGATGAAGAGGAACCTGTCCAACCAGAAGGAGCACCTCATCAACGCATTTAATTATTTCGACACTACAAACACGGGGCAGATTACCAAGGCCGATCTCGTGCAGTTCATGGGCAGTGAAGAACAGGCGCAGGAAGTCATTGACGACGTGGATGCAAACGGTGACGGTGTCATCAGCTTTGAAGAGTTTGTGGCAATGATGGACCGCAAGGGATACGGCGATGACTCGGAGATGGACAGCATGGATGCTGGTGGCAGCTTCCTCTCAGCGGCACAATACGTCAGTGACAACGCCCGGCTTCCCATGAAGGAGACTGAGCTATAGGTGAGCAGACGTACGGACGTACAGGTTAAACGAAAAATTACAGCAGCAGCATGAAAAGAACGGAACGGTCGACTGGTCAGCAGCACAGCAGCAGCAGCAGAGTCGCTCTGTCGGCGTCGCTTTGTACCGGTCGACTGTTTCCCTGGCTTGACGCTGTGTACACGCAATCACGACTTACTCACTTGCCAGCCTTGTTGCGTCGGTTGATTCGATCGTGTCGCTTTTCGGCAGCCAACTTCTGCGTGCGGACGAGTGCTTCACGTTCCGCACGTCGAGCTTCCTGTGCCGAGGTCGTCGCAGAAGAGCTGGTAGCAACACGCAGAATGCTGAGTTCTTCTTCGCGCGCCTCCGTTCGCTCGTCCATGTATTGTGCAAGCTTGTGTTGGTAGTGACGACGCGAGCTGGTTGAGAAGTTCCCAAAGACTAGACGACCAGGACCTCTGCGCTTGGTCCCAGCCTTCTTCTCTTCACCTTCCGGTATCGGCTCGCGCCGAGCCAACTTCTTCACCGATAGATGAGAGAGGTCAGGAGCGTTCAGCAGAAGCTGGTACAGGTTCGATTCCGGATACTCTCGAGCAACTGCGCTCGGCTCTGACATGGTGACTTTCATGGTAGCATTCGGAGCGCTCGTGACGTCGCTCTCAGCTTGAACAACGCGCTGGAGCTCCGACAGCGATGACGCAGCACGGCTTTTGTGCGTAGCACTTCCTCGTCCAACAAGGAGCAACTGGAGCTGCGGCACTCGAGCTCCGGAAGCCGCGGGGTCGCATGACACCTGCACTTCCACCTCGTCCAGAATGCGAAACACAGTGTGTTTACCACGAGGAGCCGACACTTTGAGGCTCATGCGCTCGATGTTGCTGTCCCATTCAAGCCGCGCGCCTGGGATTATTCGGATACACTCCGCTCCAGCAAATGCCTGTGTAGCTGGTTCGGTGTCTTCAAGACGCACACCAAGCAACTGGGGGTTCATTTGCACTTCTTCATCTCGGTCGCGCAAGTACACTGGGGCACGGAGATCATACTTTGGGACGTAGACAATCAGCCCGTTCTGCTTGAGCGCCGTGATAACCGCTGGCACCTTCACCGTGTGACGGCTGAAGTACAAAGCCAGGAACAGCGCATCGCAAGCACGTGCAGCTAGCTTGGCTTGTCTGTTTTTCTTGTTGAGGTGGTGGACAAGTGGCACCAACTCTTCCGGTGGAAAAAGATCACCCGTGGTCGCATTGCCACGTGCACGAGCTTGAGCTGACGGAAGAGCTGATACTTGAAGCTGAGAGTCAACCGACGCAACGAGATCATCGAGAAAGTCCACGTCCTCGACACTTTCCAGGACCGAGGGGGCAAGTGACTTTGGCAGCACCAACGGCGCCGACATTTTACCCGCTGAACGCTGACGGACCGTGGTCTGAGAAGTGCTGGACGCTGCAATCGACGCCAGCAGCTGCCGGTGCACGATGACATCGGCGTAACGGCGGATGGGCGACGTGAAGTGCGTGTAGTATTGCAATCCGAGACCATAATGGGCAAAGCGTGTCACGTCGCCGTTCGCTGTTGCGGCGTCTCCGGCTACTATCGCCCCAGAACTCACGTATTCAGCCTCAGTCATCACACGCACTGCAAGAGACTTCAGAAGTGCCATTGTCTTTGAGTCCATCCGCTCTGAGCGTTCTGCTGCCGCAAGTGACTGCTGCAGAGTGAAATTGTTCGTAGCATCAATGACGACGTCACGTGCGTTAGCGAGTTGAACGAGCTGCGCGAACCGGTCTCCAGACGGCGGTGGGTGCCTGCGCAATAGCGCGCGAGTCGGAAAGTGCTCCACAAGCTGGCGAGCTACAGTCGAGTTTGCAAAAATCATCAACTCAGCGATCGTGCCGTGAATCTCTAGGCTCTCCTTCACTGTGACTTCCACGTCTTCTGTGCCCACCTTTGACGCGTCCACAGAGAACTGCACTTCCTCCTGCTTTGATAAGTCTAATCCACCTTGCGAGCCACGCACACGGCCTAGACGACGGCCAATATCAGTGATAATGCCAAGGTCTTCTCGAATTTGTTGCTGAAGTCCGAGTGGTATACGGCCTCCTGCAACACCTTCGACGCGCTCAGCCAGTGACGAATCGTCAACGTCAGCATTCGCACCCTGAAGCAAACGATGGGCCTGCTGGTACGTCATGGACGAGCAGCTGCGAATGATAGTGCGCCCGAACCACACTGAATTCTCCACGACATCGTAAGTCTCACGATCTAGCTCGCATATGACACTCACTGCGAACCGGTCTCGATTCTCATGAAGCGAGCATAAATCCGCACTTAGCACTGAAGGAAGCATGTCGAGCCGCTGGCCCACCAAGTACACTGTTGTACCACGACGTCTGCCTTCTAAGTCCAATGCCGAACCGTGCTGAACGAAGTATGACACGTCTGCGATGTGTATACCAAGCTCCACATTCCCATTCGGCAAGCGTCGAACCGACATGGCATCATCTATGTCCTGGCAGCCAGGCGGATCGACGCTGAAAACGCGGTGCGTTTCGCGCAGGTCCCGGCGTCGCGGAACCTCTTCGTCAGGAACTTTCCAGGTTAGCAGCTCGCACCGAGCCGGCCGTTTCGCTGTCGAGCACTCAGCCACACAATCACCTTCGATGTCAATCAGGCACTCGTCACTTGACGGAAGACAAGCTAATGCTGCTTCACCAAATGGTGCTTCCTCGATCTCGTTGTCGATGAGAATTGCGCTGAGTTCCGCTTGCAAACTTCCAGCAGCGCCAAGAATGCCAACGTAGTGTCCATTCGGATACAAACTGTCAGTAGCCCAGCTGTCGATCACGACCTTGAGACGTTTGTCAAGTAGCACATCTAGTCGTTGCGAGCGCAAACGGATCTTGGGAAGTCGGTGGTCCATTGGCACAGCCAGCGCGTAGTCGTCTCCTGCGTTTACAGTTGACGCAACAATGGTAGCCACATGATACTTCGGTGCGCGACTTAGGATACCCATAACTTGGCCTGTTGGGATCAACCCAGATTTGTGCCCACCACCTTGCAGATCAGTACCATCAAGGTCGTCTTCGTGTTCCTGCTCGTCAGAGTATACCAACATCCGGTCACTAAGCGGTGCGTGCCAATCCTTCGTGGGACGTATCCCCACCACGACGCGATCGCCGTGGATGGCACGGTTCCTTGCAGATCGTCCAGGTAAAAACACTTTCTCGACCGCGTGTGGTCCGTCGACAACGACATACGCTTCCATCGGATTATAAGCGCTCACTTCGAGTTGCCCTGCAACAAATCTCGAAGGAACTTTCGCTAATAGCTGGTTTAGCTGAGTGGATTTCAAATGCCGTCCAAACCCAGTTTCTGTCAAACCTAGATTGCCGTCTTCATCTGGTTCGCGCTGTGTTTTTACAGACCACACAGCTCCGGCCGTGCGATCCGCCAGATCGGACATGCACTCCGCATCCATCGAGAATACTGGCAGTCTCTCGTATAAGAAATCCGCACACTCGATGGCCCGGACGTTCGCCAAAGCAGCAAGTTTCACACGCTTAACAATGTCGGCATTCCTCGTCATGACCACCACTTGTGCACTCGACGGAAGGTGGTGCTGCGTCACCAGCCACTCCACTGCCTTCAGCAACGCCCGGTCTTCTCGCATCAACTGTGGCTGGTCTCTGCCACCACCTCCATCGTGCACAAAAGTGTCGACATGGTACTGATCTGGGAAAAAGTAGAGCCTCGCCGTGCCATCGGGGCCTGTTTGGCCGTCCCCTCGGACGACCCGCCTCAGTCTCGCCGCATCCCGAATCGGCGCTATGCGCAGCGCAGCTTGGAACACACTTTCAATCACCCACAGACGCGGTGCAACGCGGCAAAACGCAGTCTCTGTCTCCATCAGCAGCTCCACACACTGCAAGAGACTGAGCGCATCGGGCACCACGTACTCGCCCCCTTCGACTCTCGGCAGCACGTGATCAGGAAGCAGCGCACGCTCAGCGCGACATGTGGCACAGAGGGCCACACCGCAGTGTACGTCCCGTCGTACATAGCGCTCGTGGGTCTTCACAGCACCGCTCGTTACTTTGCGGCGACGACTGCGCTCGACAAAGCTGCGGTCCGTACACACGTCGATCCAGTTAGAAGACGCGTGAGCGGGTCGTACACCTACACGCAGCTGCTGCGTCTCGTCGTCCTCCTGTTGCTGCTGCTGGTGGAGCGCGCGCTGCCGGCGAGCGGCCTCCTGCACGTGGAGCTGCCAGGCCATGGCGGAGCAAGCGACAATTTAGCCAATCAGCGAGAAGATGCGACGACAAGAAAGGCACATGGCTACATCCTGGCCGTGGGATCGTGCGACGTGTGACAAGATACATATTTGGCGGCACCTCGCGCGTCAACAGCTGTTGTGACGGGTTCTAAAGCTGAGCGTACAACTGCTGCTGTTGCTGCTGTATTGTTGATACTCTACAGTTGGCCGGTTCATGATGTGCGATGTGTGGTGTGTGGGCAACAACGGATCATTGCGACTGTCTGTGCGTTGCCAGAGTTGAAGCGCATCACTTGACCGTCGGCTTTGGTTCTGGTCATGCAGTCGATCGGCTGTGTGACTTCCATCGCGAACGACAGCGGCAAAATGTAGTCATCTATTTGAGCTCTTGCGCTATTGCATCCTCAACTGCTGTCGCTGCTGCTGCTGCTGTGTTGTTGCTGCTGCTGTTGCTGCTGTCGTACCTCCATGACGGCTGACGGGTTCGGGTGGTACTTGGACGGATCGATAGCGTGCCCACCACCCATTGTCTCCTTGTCACTACGGATCACTTCAACAGAGCTCTTGTCCTCTTCCTCGGCGATGCTGCCGAGGCCAGTGTCCTCCGAGTAATTCTCTACCTTCATGTCTGTGATGCCTAGCACATCGTCTTCGAACTCTGACCGCGTAAACTTCTCGGCGGTCATGTACGGATCGTCGTGAGCACTGCCATACGGCGAGTAGATGAAACTGTTGGCGAGCGGGTCCTCCAGAATAAGCGTGAACGGCTCCGACCCGTGCTTCAGAGCATCAAGACGAGCTAGCCAAGCGTTTAGCAGCGAGCGGCCGCCGTCACTATCACCAATGGCAAACGGGTTCCCTTCTTCAATGTTCTGACGGATCTTGCTGAGTAACCCCTCGAGCGTCGTGTACAGTCCACCGAGCGAACCGTGCGCCATCTCGAGCTCAATCTCGGGAATGTTGACGCATGCCGAGTCCGACTTGAGAATGTCGCGGTCCAGCACGTCTGGGTCTTTGCTGACATCCACCTTGAGCGTCATGCGCTCACCTTGAGGTGGAATGGCGCCACCAGCCTTCACTTCGTTCGTCTTGAAACCACATGCTTCACAGTTGAACGACATAATGATTACCTCCTTGAAGTGCGGAATGTCTGTCATGCACATGCACGAGAACCCCGGTGCCTGGCATGCAAAGCAGTTGGCAGGGATCTGGATCACCTCTTTCTTTGCAATGTTCGCTTCCTCTACAAACTTGTCCAGACCTTCGTTCCGGTGCGGTAGCACACGCGGAGTCTGTGTCGGTGCGTCATGCGACATGTCAGGCTGTAGTCCACAGTCCAGATCCTGCTGCTCGGAACGGTAGTAGTGCGTCACCTTCAGCTTCGGATCAGCCGCAGGCGCGTGCGGGTTCTCAATGTGGGAGTTCCCGGACGGATCGTCCAGCACGATCTTGAACGGAAGCGTACTTCCAGTGGCCATCATCGCCAGCTTCACAATGAACTCGTCGATCTTCGCGGTCGTCTCCGGGTCAGTCTCTCGTCGGTGTTCCTGGTTCTTACGCAACCCGTCGATCGCGTTCTGCAGGAATCCTTCCACTGTATTAATGCTGCCTCGCTGCGTCTCGCGAGGAATCTCAAAGTCCAGCGACGGGAAGTAGATCGAGCCAGCGTCGGCCTTGATCAACTGACGGTTCAGATCCTGCAGGCATCAATGGGGGACAAACGGTCAGTCCAGCGAGCGAGCGCTTTCCATGGAGCACCAAGCAGGTAAACAGGTACACCCGGAAGCCTTTCCAGCGCATAGGGTACCCACCTCGTGGTCCGTGAGCTCGAGCTCGAGCTTCGCGCCCTGCTCCTGCACTTTGCCGCCAAACTGCACCTCACTGTTCTTCAAGCCACAGTGCTCACACTCGAACGACATGAGGATCACCTCACGAAAGTACGGGATCATCGTCAGCAGCAGTTTCGTCGTGCCGTCTTCGTGGCAGTTCATGCACAGACTCTCAATAGTTGTGACTTCGGGCACGTCGTCTTCGGCCTGTAGCGTAAAGATCGACGGTCGGGACACGCCGTCTGCTGCGGCTGCTTCTCGCTCGTCCACGTTGGTCAAGTGGAAGCGCTCATCGATGTTGGGGCGCGTGCCGCCGAGCACGTGGGGCGCCTTCTCCGACATGGCGTTGACCTGGTGGGTGTAAGTAAAGGTTGATAATGGCTGGCTGGGCTTGGACGATGACGATGGATATGTACTGATTTAAGAGCGAGGACGAGTTTGGGACCCGCTCGGCCAACGCGCACACGCAAACGCACACAAAAGTAGACCAAAGCCGATGATGACTTTATTGTCGTTTGTGACGGGCATCAACAAACGGCTCGACGTCATCACTTAGTCACTTCAACCTGGGGATGCGGCCATGGCAACGTGCGTTCCAACTGTGACGAACGTCGGCGGACAAAAAAGACTGGAAAACACCTGCAACGTGTGTTGTATCGAATGCGACATCCCGATGGAGCGAGGAAGTGGTGCGAGGACAATTGTGCATGCGGAAAAACAGTCGTAGCAGAGATGGGAGCGATCCGCATGATAAGATGCTGTATGACAGACAGTCTGGCGTTGCAACTTGTGTTGAATACATCGACCGGTAGCTGCGAAGAAAAAGTGTCCAAGCACCTCTTCATGTACTGGAAGTACTGCTGGACTTGCCAAGACGTTGGATGGAACTTGTTCCGTCAAACTGTGTTTACCAGCAACTATCACGTCAAACGTGTCGTCATCAATGCGCATGACAGTCCCGTCAAGTGTTGGAGATCCTTCTTACGCACCATCAAGTGATACAGTTGCCGATAGTTTACATGCGAGAGAAGCAGCTACCCAGCTGTGTCTGCATGTCGACGGTCTTGTGGGATCTTGCCACAATGACGATCATGGATAGCAGCGTCAACTTGCCGTCGTCTTCTGTTCAACTAAATCGGCAGTCTCAGGGCTGCCTTGTCAGACAGTGATGGGGATCCTACAGTGCTGTTGGAAGTACGAGCGACAAGATTCGAGACATGATAGAAGCACGTACTGTTGAGTTATGTTCGAACGTATTGACTTCTCCGAGCGAGCAGGCGACTTGACTCGGACAGGTTGCACAAAAACACTGGGAAAGCGTGGCAACATCAGAAGTGAGTAAACGCAGACTGGAAGACAGGGCGGTTGGAGGAACAGTCTTTGCATAACAGCTACGAAACGTTGGCAAATTCGTACCACATCATTGCTGGCAATGGCAAGAAACAACAAGTAGCTGGCTGCAACGTCTCTGCTGTTTCGTCAACAGAAGGCGACATACAGACAACAGCTTCGACCACATCGCGCCGCGCAATATCTGAGCAGTTAGTTGTCTATGCTTTGCCTCGTGCGCAAGGACACTTGCAAAACATTTCAGATCGGTAATGGCAAGTGCCTCACAAGGGAATGGTGAGCGGCACATGAAGATGTGAGTTCTGGACTGACAAACTTTCGACCCAAGGTTCTCACTAGTGTTAGTGCTTCCTTCGCAGAGAAGAACAGGAAGGCCGTATAACGGTAACTACGAGACGAGGCAGACGCTGGAACTACGACGTACCTTGACAAGAGATGACCATTTACTGCCTCGACGTGTCCTTCGAAAAGCCCTCTAACGTTTGTGAGGTAGCCACTTCTTGCAGCGCCATCAAGATGCAGTATCGGACTATTGCACCCTTTACGCGCAGTATCATGTGCAGTCTTCGACACAGCTGCTTGCAATTGAGTCTTGCAGATCGAGTCATGGCTTTGTGCAGTGCCGTCCATTGCGGCCAAATGCATTCCTCGCGACTGCTTTTACCGTTGGTAGACGGAGGACCGATGTCTGTAGGGCATTCTTCCCCATGTTTCGTACGCTCTGCGACGTGCAGTGTTCCTGTCACATCGTACCGTCGACTATCTCTTTGCCGGGACTGCTGAGTCGCAGTGATGTGTCCAACTGAAACACAAAGAACATCTCAGTCTCACGTGACGCAGTCACACTTTGACCACGTAGTCGAGGCAACACGTCGGAATCGAAACACAAAATACTATTAGATCTGTATACCCGTGACGACGTGCTCAACTGTGCTCGGAACGCGGAGGCGACATGCACGCTTCAACTGACATTACCCGTGCCGCCCACCTGGTCAGGGCAGCGATAGTCCTCAGGCAACAGCGAGCGCTGCAGTTTGTTGAAAGCAAACTGGCGCTTGCCCGTATTCTTCAGCGCATTCTCGATACGCACACCGTGACTTCGCATAACGGAAACAGTAGCGGGCACGCGATGTGCAGGCAAGTCGTGATGGCGCTGCAAAATACGCACCTGCTCCAATGTTACCGACATGGCTGTGCGATCCTTCGCACTCTTGCAAACCGTAACGCGTCCACCACCAAGCTCCCGACATAGATCCGACGAACGCTTCAGGATCTCCGTACGCTTCGTCTTGACCAGACTTTGTGCCGCTTCGTTGATCGACATCTCAAGTGCACGGAGCTCTTGCGTTACCTCGTCTGGTGTAAGGCGCAACGATGACGCAGCTGTTGAGTCGATAGACGTGGCCTTGTAACGGTGCGATCCAGCGCGGCTGCGGCCGGAAGATGACAAGCCGCTAAGACCGTTCAGAGGCATAGATACCACGAGGCGACGGTACTTCTCGCAAAATGCCTTCAAAGGTTTGAGACTGCGGAAATTAATGATGTCCTGCAGCTCCGTCTTCGCACGCTCTGTGTTGTTCGCGATTGTTTGCATTTCATTGATGCCCTGGGAAAACAGCACTGGTGTCACCTGGATCTCGCCACCACCAGCCAGGCGCTCGGGCAGTTCCACTTCGCTGGTCGCCACCTGGACCGTCACAATGTACTTCACCTGAGACCGCTTTGCTCCCGTCTTGTTTGACACCGTTACTTTCACTACACCAGCCTCATCAGCAACATCTTTGCGCCGTGACATGCGGAACGAGAAACGGTTCATAGGCTTGTCGCGGACGTCTTGAATCACAAACGCCACACAGCTCAGGTGCTCCACAGAACCAGCCATGTCTTCCAGCATACCGATTTCCTTGCCATGCGTAGATAACAACGACTCGACTTGGAACAAAAAACCGAGATTCGAAAACTGGCGCAGCATATCTTCACCTCGGATAACATCCGGGTTCTGAATCGCAACTTCCACCTTTCGCACAAAGCTACAAGTGAGGGCCGCCAAAGCTTGAGCGAACGCGCAGTCCATACGAAGCTGCAGATCCCATTTGAGATCGTCATACTCACGCGCTTCCTCGGGCCACTTGGACAGGTCCAGGTCGGCGTCCGCAATCTTGGCTTCCATTTTCTTGCGCCTGTTCTGGTAGGAAAGAATGCCACCCTTGCTGAACTTGTACACATGTGCAGCGGGCGCGCCGACAGTCGTGAAATCGTATGCAGATACTTCTTTCGACGACCGTCTCCTTTCATCGTTTATAAACGCAGTCGTCGGCCCAATAAGTAGGTCTTGGATGTGCATGTTGATCGGAACGAACCGTAGATCAGATGACTTTTTTCCACGCTAGCCTTGAAATAATTCTTGTGCTTATCGCGGTTCACCAGGTACTGGATATTCCGGCGCAGCATTGCCACATACTCTTTGCGTCGCCGTACACGTTCCTCGAGCCACTCGCGAGCGAGCGAAGAGTCGGTATCGTCTTGGATCTGACCGATCAATGTACCGTAGAAACCCAAATTCTGCTTTCCCTTCTTCTGATTCAAGAAGCTGTGCAAGTCTTCACGTGCACGATCGGCCTGTTCCTGACGCTCTGCTGCAATCAGCTCCATCAACTGGCGCGGAATCGCATTCGAGTAAATGCTCTCCTGCAGGTCTTCCACAACAAGACCACCGCCTCCATCTTCCGTGTCGTACTGGAAGAACCTTATAATGTTGCCGATGTTCTTGTGAGATGCAGCATCGTCGCGACTCGTTACGTCGCCAGGCATCATGACTGTCTGCACACTCAGCTCTGCGTTCTTTGCATTGCCCATCAGTATCTTGTTGATCTCACTCTGCAACGATGGGAACTCCTCCAATATAGCGCACGTGTTCTCGTCCGATGGGTTGATGTTCAACGAGTGGCCGCTGGCTGCTGCGTCAAGCACGGCCTGGGACGAAGTGACAAACTCCAGCACGGGATGGAACATCGTCATCTGAAAGGACAGCTGTGGATTGGAAGCAGTGTCGTGACTGCGCGTGCTGGAGCTTGAACGATCCAGGCAATTCGAAGACGTCTCACGCTTCCCAAGTGTACTCGCGTGCACCATAAAGCGCAGCAATGTGTTAGACGCAGGGCCAATGACCGGCACTTCTAGCACGGCAACGAACGGGAAAATAGTGTGCGCGGACCCTGTCGTCAACACAGATTCCGTCTCGCCCGCAACACCGACCGGTTCCGTAGTGCCCACACATTTCCATGCAGCAGCGCTGTAGATACTGTGAAGCGTATTGCTGGACGTAATAGTTTCCTTTGACGAGTAAAAGTCGAGCGAGACAAAGCACGCACGGTCGAAAGATGCAGGTAGCTTCAACCGCACGATGATCCGCAATCGACTGCCAGGCTCGTCGCTGTTCAGCATCGATTCACCCATGCTCAAGCGATCGCGCAACAATTTCGAGTACGGCATGTGGCTTGACGATCCAGATGAGCGCGGAGTACAGTTGAACACGTCTTCCTTCGAGGACTGGTCAACCGATGGCGTATCGTCCTGTCGGATGTTCTCCGTGCTTGGATTCCACTGCAAAAAGAGCAGCAGTAGGGGTGGCAAGCTATGTGGCAACCACACGATGAAAATGTACCATACCACGTCCGAAAGCTGATTGTCTTCGCCCTTCTGCGAGACGTACTGCGCGACGTAAATGACCTGCGCCGATACGTAAAGAACGCAAGTGGTAGCGATGATAGCGTAAAATATCGTGAGCGACTTGCGGATCCGCGCATCAGATGGATCCTCGTTCAACATGAGCGTGCGTCCACGACTCATGACCATGCAGCCAAGTATCATCAGCATGAGCGTGTAAACGATGAGGCCCGTGCCAAACGCCAAGTAGAATGCCTCCATGTCGCAGTCTTCGATCGCAGACCGGATGATCTTGCCCTCGGCAGCGATTGACAGCGCACACTCCATCTCAGACGAACACGACGTAGACTTCACATCGTACACACACTCCAGTTTCTCTTCCGACACCACAGACACCATCACAATGAAGACCAACACGCACGCGTTGATCAAGATGTACGCCAGCACGACAGGCGACGTAAACGTGAATTTCTTGAAACACTTGAACGACAGCACAGTCGCCCAGTGGAAACACAGCGACAGAATCATCGCGGTATTAAAGAAATACTGCGCCGTGTACCAGTACACGTATGCCTTCGATGGCTGGATGACCCAGACAAGGTATCCACCCGTTGCCGCGGCAAACGAAAAGAGTGCTGTAATCGCCACCAAGTCGGTCCACAACGTGTTCACCGTCAACGGCAGACCGTGCCAGCGGATGATCACCAGCGAAAACAAAAAGCAAGCGCTATAAACCACCAAGGTGACAATGTCCAGCGGCGCTGCCTTGAGGGACCGACTGGCATCGTCCAGTATATAAAACATGATGGGCGAGTTGTCCACAGCCGACGCGAGACCTTGGTACGCTGAGAGGTACACCTTGTCGATCGCGACCGAGTTGTTGGCCGGGTTCTGGAACGTCGCAAACTGAATGTTGACCACGTCGCCATTCTGGATGCTGCCAGTGAACGATTCCGGGATCGTGAACGAAATATTGGACGCGCCGACAAACAGCTCCAGTTCAATTGCTGCAGTGCTGTCCGCGTCCGGGAGCACCATCGACGCTGTCGAGACGTTCCGAATCATGGCACCAAAGTCACCTTCCCGGTCACTTGCGACCCGCAAGAGGAAGAACGCGCCCGCACTGAGCACCGCACCGCTCGTGACCGTCAGTGTCACTGGGGTCGGGTTCATAATGATCGTATTCTCCGCCGACATGGCCGTGTTCGAAAACATGCCAATGAGCTCGTACGAGCGCGACGTCAGGTCCACGCGGAACGCCTGTGGCGTCGTGGCCCCACCTGCCGACGCGAGACAGCCCGTGCTGTCGAACGTCAGCGAGAGCGTCGTGTCCTCGGTGAACGTCCCGGGCCCGAGTCGCGTCGTCACGTGGTCCACAATAAAGTCGTAGCTGTTGTGCACCGCCATGAGCGTCGTCAGCGCTTCGGCGTCCAGCGTCATGACCGTCGCGTTGCCATTGTCGCGTGCACAGGCCACGGCAGTGCCCTTTGTGCCGGCCGCACAGCGCGACGTCGCGCCTTCGAGCAGCCACAGCGTCGGCGTGTCGAGGCGGATGGCGCTCGTAAAGTTGCACGACGGCGCCGCGAGGGACGCGGGCGTGAGGTCAAACGTCTCGAGCATCTGCGGGAAGTTGTACGTGGACGAGACCACGAGCGAGCAGTTGGCGCACGTGCCGTTGCGCGACGAGGCCACTGTCATGCTCGCCACGTCCGAGAGGTCGCTGCCCTTGTCGACGTTCTGGAGGTCCGACGTGCGGCACGTGCGCACGCAGTCCACGGGGTCGCCAAACAACTGCGTCGTGGGCGCGGCGCTGCTCGGGTCGGCGACATAGAGGCACTTGTTGGCGCGGCACGTGTACGCGAGCGGCTCCGCGGAAACGTTGCCGTGGACTCGACCAATCACCGCGAGGAACGCGACGAGCAGTGCGCAAAGTGTCACGAGAGTGCGCACTGGGGGCGCGATTTGATTGCAGCATTTGGTGCCTCGACGAAACGTGGCCAGCGGCATTTGGTGGCATGCACGCTCGGGGGTGCGGGCGGGTGGTGGTGACGTGCGAGAGGAAGAGGAAGCGAGGGGAGGAAGAGCTGGAAGAAGAGGAAGAGGGAGGAAGGGGGAGAGGGGCGTCGGGCGCTATCCGTCAGTCTGTCTCGCTGGCTAATTGGCTGTCTCTACGGGGATGGAGACCACGCGACCTGCCGCGTCTCCTACAATACTACTACTGCTGCTGCTGCTCCGACTGCTGTTGCTGCTGCTACTACTACTACTGCTGCTGCTGCTGGGGCTGTTGGGAGTACTATTACTACTCTCGCTCGGGGCGCGATGAGGCGGTTTGGCCCGACGACCGACCGACCGACTGCGTGAGTGGTTGTTCTCCCGTGCCTTTCCCGCAAGGCAAGTGATGGCAAGCCCTTCCCCTAGACGCTCCCCTTCCCCGCGACTAAAACAGACAGAGAGCCAGTTGCGCGCGGTTTTGTCCCTGCGAGAGCAAGCGTGTAAGTGAAGCGCGGCGACTCGCGACGACCCGCTTGCTCCGAGAAGGACTACTACTTTTACCATTGCTACTACTTCACCACCACTACTACATCGACAAAAATAGCACTACTACTACTACTACTACTACTACTACTACTACTACTACTACTACTACTACTACTACTACTACTACTACTACTACTACTACTACTACTACTACTACTACTACTACTACTACTACTACTACTACTACTACTACTACTACTACTACTACTACTACTACTACTACTACTACTACTACTACTACTACTACTACATCGACGAATAGTAGTAGTACTACCACTCCTGCTTCTTCATCAACTACTGCCTTCACCTTCACCTTCACCACCACATTCCCTGCTCCTGCTACTACTACGGCAACTCGATATGAGGCGACAACGGCCGACTGTATTCCACGAATGACGTTGCGCGATCGTATGGAGAGCAAGCGCGTGGAGTCTATGGAGCTGCGTCGCGTCCATTGCAAGATGAGAGCAGAGACGGTGCGTGCACTGCCGCAGCGGCAACCACTGCTCTTGGAGGCAGAGGCATCACACGCCTTGGACGTGTAGTTCCACGTTGCCGCCAGCCATCCGTTGAAGCTCCGGTTCCGCTCACCCCAATCGTGCCGACGGCAGCGGATGGTGGTTGCACAGAGCTTATAGGGCACTGGTGCACGTCGTACAGGACGACGACGCGCCTGCGCAATGCCGTGTCAAGAGGGTCTTTCTTTGCAACCGTTGCTGACAGTAACGGTCGTACTTGGCGGTCTGCACGTTTTCCACGCGCGAATCAGACAGACGCACAGTACATTGAGTACCGAGAACGACTGGCTCAAAGTCGCAACAACGCCACTTTTTTCCGGTATTGATGTCGTCCTTGGGCCAATGGTGGCAGACTCTGGCCCCATGTTCTTTAACGGATGAGCTCTGCACTGTGTTTGTGCACTTGTTTGGACCAACAAGTGTGTACGCAATACAGCGGCGGCCTTTTTTGGTCCTGATGGTGAGTTAGTCAGCAAATGAAGGACTGCAGGAAGCAGTAGGTGCTTTGTCTTGGCACTCTCGAGTCGCGTGCGACAGCAGCAAACCAGCGAAGACGACCGTGAGGTCACATAATGAGACGAGCTCTTTCTCCAAGACAAGAGCGGGCAAAGGATGTCGCTGCTCAGTGACTTTCTTGTCGACTTCGAGCAAAGGTTTTGGACTCGGTGGGTTCATTACACACACCTGTCGTGCGATGCAGTTTCGCGGGAAACGCCATGATACGGCGCTCCCCGATGAGCTGTCCTTTATCAAGCTGAAACCTCCAGTAGGTTTGTAAAGTCACCGAGATCGTCCCACGGCCGCTAAGCTCCGATTTATGGTCAGAATGGGCACTACAGCTACTACTCAGATGGACAATACAACTACTACTCAGGTGGACGGACATGCGGAGGACACGATAACTTGTATGCCTCGTTGCATCATGGTGGGGTACGTATGAACCACGGTCGTCATCAGCGATACTTGCTTTGTCGGGAACAGAACCTACTCAAGCTGCAACCGTCTAAGGTGGATCAAGTGCTGTGTGCGTTGCAAATACCAAGTTGAAGGTCGTGGAGAGCCCAATGACGGAGGCAGCCTGGTCACTTGTACGGGGCATATCGAGCAAGGAGCAGACATCATGTAGCACGTCGATCTGTTCAGTACAAGCAATTGAAAATGGAGGCAATGGCGATCTCTGTCCAGGCAGCCACTGACCGGCGTGTGACGGCAAGTCGGTCGGTTTTGTAGCTGATGCCAACCTCCCCACTCTCGTTGCATCGATCGCATTCTGCAGACGGTAGTGCCGCTTCGGCGTCGAGATGATGCCGACATGCTTCGGCTGGATCTTGACCGTGGTAATATGTGCTGAGGGAGAACCGAAAGCTTGAGACCAGCAAGCTCCGGTCATCCGTGAGATCGATGGAGCCTGTTTTTTTTCACAGGGCGATACTGTCCATTCACTGCGTACGTGCGGCTTCCACAAATACTCACACCACATGGAATAGAGTCGGAAGCGTGTCTCACGCCTTCTGAGCACGTGCCAAACCTATTCAAGAGCCTACAGATAGAGCACCTTGTCAGCAGTCTGAAGGTCAGTAACCTCGTCTTCGTTTTCCTGTCTTGTTCCGGAGGGTTGTAGTTATTAGGGTGAGGCTGTTCCCTTCTGTTTGCCACAGTCCACTTCTGACCAATGAGATAGATCTGCCTTGTGTGTACTACTGCCACACAACAATCCGGTAAAAGGGGACCTTACTTAAGCGCGGTTGTCAAAATCTCCGTACACCGAACCAACAATTTATCCGAAGAAGCGCTGTATTTAGACTTCGGAAGCAAGGAAAACTAGGATGAATGCACAATGAGATATGCATCGTTTCAATCGCTACATGGACAGTTGTACAAAAGCGTGAGTGACTCCACGAGGCTAGAACTCATCGAAGACGCTTCTGGCCTGGGGATCGATTCCTTGGTGTATTTTATCCGCGCCATCCTGTCACGCATGCATCATACTGCTCTTTCACTACGTTCGATTGCGGTACATGCGAGAGGAATTCGCAAGGGTTTTTCGACTACATACAATGACAAGCTAGCGACACTGAAGGACTAGACGTTGTAAGCCTCAATGCGCAAACTTTGTCCTGTCATTTACAATGGAGAAACATTACGTAAAACACGGCATGCAATCAACAAAACAAATAGCGCGGTTCCATGTCGAATATACTTCAGACTGTCCACAACGCCTCTAGACCTGCAAGTAGAAGCTACATCCCGTGTCTCGGCATGATCGATACCGTTCGTGCGGCAAGTGCGGCGAATGCAATCGCTAACAGGTTGTTGAAAGAAAAGATTGCATTTAGTGCAATAACTCCTATCGTGGCAACTGAGCCAACGCAGAGAGCAAACGTCACGACGATCATCAGTCGAGTGCATATCCATGTATGTTTTCTGTGCACCACCAGGTCGCACGCATCTTCGCCTCATCGATTTGGCAGAGGAGACCAGAAGCACGGAAAGCCTTGCAGACGGTGCTCATTGTTTGTTCTTGTCTGACGGACGCGTCATGGCCCACAACATGTACAAACTGACTATTGTGGAAGAACCTTATGGCAGTGGTGGACAACCACAGTCGCGATTCGCGTGTGGACACGATGAAAGGCGCAAGGAAGGCGCTGTGGAGATACAGTGCTCACAAGACGAAGGCAACTAACTGACTGACTGGCATCACAAAGTGCCGAGGGCGTTGATGCAAGTGACAGAGACGAAAAGGAAGTGGAGACTGACTTTGCACCAGTTGTAGAGCAGACCAATGAGGTCGGCGGATGCATTGCTTCAACTAACTCGACAATGTCGACTTTGTCGCCGTCAATGATCGACAAACTATGACGTAGTCGACTACGTACTTCCGCCCCGAACAACAGTCATCAGATGTTGTCATGAGGCAGCGGCAGGAGCAAGCGCGCACAAGCCGTCGGTCCGACTGGATGTGTCTGCGAGCAGTATCGTACGTTGTTGCATCTATATGACCGCACGAAGGTCGACATGAGCCATGCGAGATCACAACCCTATTGGAGCGACCAGGCAAGTTCCGTGTGGTTCCACATCGCGCTGTACCCATAGTGCACTGGCGCAACAGATCGCAGCCATGGGAGCCGAAACTGCCACATGGATTCTCCAAGAGCCACAAAAGACCAAAAGTCGCACTAACATCCACCGACCCCTCTAGTTACCACCGATTGCCACTCTTCGCGGCAAAACAAGCAGCTACCTAACCAGATCTCCCGTGTGGAATTTTAACCGACGACGCCTCCACTTCCACGCTCGTACTCCCAAATTCACGTGCCCACAAAAGTCGGCAACAAACAAACGCCTCAAACAAACAAACGCCTCAAACAAACAAACCGCTTCAATCAAACAAACGCCTCGACGCATTCATGTAACAACCCGCCCAACTACTTAGCGCGTCATTCCGTCTTTTATCCACAACCCGTGATAACCAAACGCCTCCACCCAACCCAACGCACATGGTACAGTATACGCGCTGCCCATACAATACGCGCTATCGCCCACGTCTCGAACGTCTCGATGCTCACTCTCTCTGTCTATGTCTCTCTCTCACTCTCTCTCTATGTCTATGTCTCTCTCTCTCTCACTCTCTGTCTATGTCGATGTCTCTCTCTATCTCTCTCTCTCTCTTATGTCTATGTCCATGTCTCTCTCTAGGCGTCCGTCTTCCTCCGTGACCTCAACGACTACATCGAGCCGTCCCAAGCGTGCGTGAACCCCCTGTTCACGTCGGCTAAAAGCTCAGCCACCCCCGACACCGACGAAGCGCCGCTGTTACGGCCTATTGGCACAGCCACAGTCACACTCGAGACAGAGTTCCTGGACGACGACGTCGCCCGGCCCGAGGCCCGCGCGCCGTCCACAATCATCCGCTCGACCAGACAGGAGAAGGCGACAGTGTCGCTGGACGACTGTCTCGCGTGCAGCGGCTGCGTCACGTCGGCGGAGACTGTGCTCATCTCGCAGCAGAGCTGCCACGAGCTGCTGGACGTGCTGGCCAGCCACACGTTTCGGTTTGTGGTCGTGACGCTGTCGCCGCAGTCGCGCGCGTCGCTGGCCGCGCGCTTCCACCTGCCGCTGGTGGACGTGCACCGGAAGCTCGTGACGCTCTTCCGCGGCCGGCTCGGCGTCGACCTCGTGATGGATTCCACGGCCAGCGGCGACTTTGCACTGCTTGAGTCGCGGGCAGAGTTTGTGCATCGCTACCGCAACCAGCAAAAGACCATCTGGGCGCGCCCGCCGTCGTCCGTGGCGGTCTCGGCGGACCAGACCGAGTTTCTCGAGCCAAGTACTGCGGCGAGTCCGCTGCAAGATCCGCTGCGCGCGTTGCCGATGCTGGCGTCGTCGTGCCCGGGCTGGATCTGCTATGCAGAAAAGTCCCAGCCGAACGCTCTTCCGTTCATTGACACGACCAAGTCCCCGCAACAGATTGCTGGGTCGATCGTCAAGCGCTTTGTGAGCAGCGAGCATGGCGTTGCGTCGCACCAAGTGTACCATGTTGCAGTCATGCCGTGTTTCGACAAGAAGCTCGAGGCGTCGCGCAAGGATTTTCAGGACGCAGAGAACGCGACCAAGGAAGTGGACTGCGTGCTCGCGACGACCGAGATCATTGAACTCATTGAGAAGCTGGATGTCGACTTTGCGAGTCTCGAGCTCGCGGAGCTGACGTCGGAGGAGATCAGGCTGAGCGGCATCTCGGACGACGGTTCGAGTGTCCTGGGCAGCAGCTTGAACGCCGGCTCTGGCGGTCAGCTTGAGCACATTTTCCGCTTTGCAGCGAAAGAGCTCTTTGGTGTGGAGGTCACGGGTCCGCTCGAGTACGTTGTCGGGCGCAACCCGGACTTTCGCGAAGTGTCGCTGGTAGTAGAGGGCAAGGAGGTGCTCAAGTTTGCGATATCCTATGGCTTTCGCAACATTCAATCGATCATGACGAAGATCAGGCGGAACAAGTGCCCGTACCACTACGTTGAGATCATGGCGTGTCCAAGTGGGTGTCTGAACGGCGGTGGTCAAATCAAGCCAAAGTCGACGCTGCTAGCGACTGAGCTGCTCGGTGACGTCACGAGTCGCTTCCAAGAGCTCCAAGTGCGCCAACCCAGTGCAAGCCCAGCTGTCAAGTATGTGTACGAAAAGTATTTGGGCGGTGGGCCGTTTTCCGAAGTCGCTCGCAAAGTGCTGCACACACAGTATCACGCTGTTCCGAAGATGGAACAGTCGAACCCTTTGGGCATCAAGTGGTGAGCCGCGACAAAGTAGTAGTAGAAGTACAAACAACAGCCAAGTGTATGCCTAGATCCAGCCAGCGGCTACTCACTCACGCGCTCTTGTTCCCAGTGTCTTATTTCCACAGTCCGTCTATTGTGTACCGCTACTCTATGCATCCGGTGCAGGCGCTCTAGTATCCGCTCCAGCACGTGTCACTACAGTCCTTCACTCTTCAGTCCTTCCTCGAAGCTTGTGCTGTGATCGCCACCGTCTCTTTCGCTTTGTGGCCAACGTGCACGGGGCAAAGCACGTTCGATTCGCCAGCCTGGTGCCGGCCGTTCTTCACTCCCCACAGATTCTCGTGGATACACATATCCCGAAGGCGCCGGCGGACAGCACGCACCTTCATCACCAGCCACGCGGACATGGAGTCCTCGTCGACGCGTGCTGCCGACTCTTGCGGCTGGAAGTTCTCCACCTCACCTAGGAACGCCTCTCGCCATACACTGTCGTTCTTCTTCTTAGCTTCAGTCTCGTCGTCATTCATCCACTGCTGGCTGTGCAGCACCATGCACCCCATAATGACAGGCAAGTACCACAACGAAGCCAAAAAGACCTTCTGTGCCGAAGCGTTGGAAGGCTCTGCGTAAAACTTGTGCGCAAGGTAAATGGTGTACGCGTTCACGACCGTGCCTTCGACTGCAAACATGTAGCTCGTGGCGCCTGTCCATGCAGCTGCAATCGGGATCGCACTCATGTAGTACGAGTACCGCAGTGCCAACGCAGCACTGCGTGCGCCCGTGGGATCGCTGCATGCCACCATCTTGTACCCACCGCGCGCATAGTCCTTGCGCGAGCGCCAGCTCAGGGCAAAAAAGTGCGGCATCTGCCAGCAGTACATCAAGCACGCGAGCAGCGCAGCTTCTGGGGCCAAGATCGTGCCTGTAGCGGCGGCCCAGCCCATGAGTGGCGGGATCGCGCCCACTACCGAGCCCATCCACGTGTTCCACTCGCTCTTCATCTTCATGGGCGTGTACACGAGCGAGTACAGGCCAATGTTCAGCACGCCGAGGGAGGCCACGAGTGGACTGCATCCTGCTGCCAGGACAACGGCACTGGTCGTGGCTGTTGCAGCGCCAAACGCGAGCGCGTGGGACTGCGAGATGCGTCCAGACGGAAGCGGCCGGCGATGGGTGCGCTGCATCTTGGCGTCCAGCTCCACTTCCCAGCACTGGTTAAAGGTATTGGCCGACACGGCAGCGAGGGACGTGCCCACAGTAGCTGCAGCAAACGTGCACCAGGAGATCGGGCCACCCGCCATGAGGAAGCCTGCACCTGTAGTCATGACCACGAGCGCACTGAGACGCGCTTTGCCTAATTGGCTGTAAATCGTCAGACGGTCGTTTCGCGTCATGTGATTGGCTACTGGACCATCCTCAGCTGCGACTGCCGTCGTTGCAGCTTTGATGCTTGTCACTGCTGCTACTTCAGCGGTCGATCGCGTGGAGAACAGGCGGAGCACAGGCGGATGGACGCGGACAAGTCGGCGTTTGTCACGGGATGTAGCGGAGCGGACGGCACGGGGGAAACCGGTCGAGACGAGCGAGAGCATGGAGCAGACGGGCGAGCGAGAGCGAGAGAGGGAGTGGGAGGAAGGAGCCGCTGGTACTCGGCGACGACGTCGACGACGCGATGATGTGCGACGTTATCTGTTTCGTTTTAGCCAATGAGAAGCTAGTCGCACGGTGCTTTTTCGGCCAATCATACCGATAGTTGGATAGGGCTTGACATGATTGGCGTTGCGGCAGCACTGTGGACGACCAGATGCAGCTGGTGGAGGCTATTTATATCGATCGCCGTATCGACGTGAAAGTCGTTAGGGTGCTTTGTTTCGGCAAATAGAGGAGAGCGTCGTTAAACGAGCGACGCGATGTTGCGCGACAGTGAACGAGCAGAAAGGGACGCGGGCACGGACGTTGCGTGCTGCTGAGGTTTGTCTCGCGGGTGAGACAAATGTCGATTATTGTGTGAGCGCACACAATAGTCGACAAAAAACTAGATGACGAAGGTGTCGAAAGAGGTACGACGTTACCTCAACGACGGGAAAAGGCACGAGACGGTTATAGTGGACCCGCGTCTTTGCGGTCTGACTTACCCCTTAAGCGCTGTAGCAGTTGCAGTGAAGCAGTGCCGAACGCGATGGCATAAGAAAACGTAAAGCGAGGGGGGTCGAATGTCACAAGTAGCGATACCATTAGCTGCACGTAGATCTACACCGTACTTGATCCATAGATCATGTGGTACCAATGAAGGTTCGTGTGAACTGCCGCTAGACTATCGACCCATGTCTTCCGTGAACAATATGCGCTGCAAGGGGAGTGGTCACTTGCACGTTGCTTTCCGCACACCTCGTCTAGGGCTGGTCTTGTGACTCCAGTAAGGCAAAGTGTTGGTCGTCTCCGCTGAGGGTCTCGACTACAAGACGTCAACAATCGACACGCGATGCTGAATGGCTTGACCATGTTCTCGACCGACGAAGCTGCTTGGCGAATAGTTGCACTGCATACAGATCTTGACAACCGGAAGCGCTCGAGACGTCGCATTCGATATAGAGGTCAGCAGGATAGCAGATCGCAACAAGCGGTAGGAATTAGACATCCGAACGCTTGGGTACCCCTTCATGCGAGACTGGCTGAGCAAACCAAATTGAATCGAAACTTGTTCGACTACGTGCTCAGCAGACGACAGCCGCGTCATCTAATTCGAGGTTGTGATGCCAAGGACGTTGTTTTCGGGATGTTGCTTGGTCCTATGCAAAGTTGCCACAATTTGGAGCACCTCGATGGGTTGAAGTCGGTGAGTAGCGTAGAGCATCTGCACAATGTCTTTGCTGCTGCGTACTACGCATGCAACACTACAATTGCGCCAGACCACGTGTGTCACAAGGTCCCGCGCGGACACACAGCAGATCGTACACTGTCAAAGCTCAGAACGCTATCGTCAAGCCTTTTGCAAAGAAGGCCTGGGATCTAGGACCAAATGCACACTATAGGCGAGGGACAACAGCAACTGTATGCTGGCCAAATGTACATCACGGGACAGTCCGAGCTCATCGAAGAACTTGTCAAAGCCTCGAGACGTTCATGAGCACGGCGTGACGCAACAGCTACAACAGCGCTGGACTTTGCTGCGGAGATAGCTCCATGAACCCAATTCGACGAGTCGCTCACCAGGAGGTGCTGAATCGAGCGTACTACATTTGACGACACTGAAGATATCTGACCCCAAACTTGCAGCTTCTGCAGTGCCAACCAAAGCTTCGCCGCGACCAAACGGTTCAGTGAGCTGAAAAGGCACACGCTTGCAAGTAACGATTGCGACATGCGGCAGCGTAGCCTCCTCATCCATAAGCGACGAGGAATGACGAGACCTTCGAATGACTGCCTGTGTGACGACAGCGCAAGTGCCTTCCCGTCCAGTCAAAAGCTCAGGATAAGCGAAGCTCTAGCACTGCCTGTTGGAGTCGATGGAGGTTGTTGCTCACTAGGCCCCGACTCAGTTCGATGCGAGTTGCGTCAAGTTGGCAATGGACGAAGACAAATGGAGTGTCTGTCACTCGGTCAAGTAAAGCAGATTGATGCTAGTGCAGGTCACCCCTCACGCTAACGAATCTTTCAGCGGTCTACTTGTAACCCGTTGGTCATTGACTTGAAGCTCGTACTCGACATCGATCGAGAGTACCTCGAGAGTCGATCCGGGACAAACCTTCGCAACGAGCTCCACGTTCCGAGCTTCGACAGCTGCGCGACCGAAGTCCAGCGCGAGTGGTCTCGACCCACGCGAATGTCGTGGAGCGTACCGCGGTACACACTGCCACGTGACAGGTCGTCCACGTTGACGTCAAAAGTGGACAAGTACGAGCGCGTCAACGCAGCAGCTTGTTCCAGCGCATCGCGCCACTGTTGACACGTGTCCCCGTCTTGTCGCTCGTACAAGTGTAGCTCCATGTCTTCGCCGTAAGGATCTTCGACGTACAACACGCCGTCTCCACTGCACGAGGAGCTCGCGACAGCAATTTGTACCAGTGGCTGAGGCCGCAAGTCCTTCGACGGACGATAGTTGTGGCGATAGAGCAGCAGGAACTCGTTGCGCAGCACGGCGTAGACCTTTGTGTATCGATCGGCTTTGAGCGCAGCGGTCGGACCTTCGCCTGGACGAGCCCAGTACATCCAACTTTGAATGTGGATGTCCTGTGGTAACGGCGACGAGACAGTGGTGGACACTGTGCTCGTGCTGCTGCTGCTGCTACTGGTGCTGCTGCTATGGCAGTACGAGTCGCGTGTCTGGCGTAACGAGGAGCTACAGAAAGTCTCATGTCGGACTTGTCCGTCTATGTCTCCATGAAGTGTTGACGGGTGATGGACGAAAGTCGCACGTGACCGTCGCAGTCGCAGGTTTTTGCTCGGCTGTGGCACAGAGGACCAACGCGAGACGACGCCCGAGCTCTTCGTCGAGCAGGTGTTGGCCATGTATTTTCCACTGGTCGAGGAAGCGCAGTGGCCACGTGCGTGGACTTTCACCAATGACCACGTCAGGTCGTCTGGTAGACAGAGCTGCCCGACACGCGGTGACCATGTGTAACACTGGCAACTAACCTGCATTGGCAAACACCACCGCGGGCCACATGGCGATGATTACACTGGACCGTCTTCGCTCCGAGTTGCAGCGTTCCGTAGTTGTTGTCGCTGGCTGTAATGCTCATTTGGCTCATGTGACACAGCAGGAGGTCCATCCTGCGGCATTTTGCGTGGGTGCATATCAGTCACCGACGATGGACTCGTACTGGAAGTCTGCCTTGGCAGTGTCGTCGGTCGGCTATCACAAGTCCATGTGGTGAGCGGAGCAGAAGCTGCTGGCCTCACCAGCTGAACAAGTGGTGAAGAATCTGGTGTTCCGCCCAGCACGTGGCAGTCCTGTAGCAGACGACAGTTCTTTTTTTCTCAAGACGTCAAGACGGTATCGAAAAGGAGCGCTACATCATCCATTCCCATTTGTCCTCGTTGCGATGCAACGCTGCCCCGTCCAAGCAGTTCGCAACGCGTTCTGTTTCACCTGTGTGTAATCTATCTTCCGCTGGTTGTACTTGAGAGACTCATGCGGTTGATCTGGCCCAGAAACTCCGAGTACGAGCATTGGCCACCGGGGAAGCTGGCCCGGTCTTCTACGAGCTTCCAAAAATAACGACCCTCTGTCGGATCGCCCTCCCGCATGATTACCACGTTCTGGTGAGGCAATCGTTCCGCACGGATAGCTGACACAATGGCGTCCACGCGACTGCTTGTCTCGTCGTGCGGGGCCAGAAGTTTCAACTACGTCGACCACGGAAAAGACAGCGTGAGTAATCGGTTACCACTCAGTCAGCCCATGGCTCAAAACGCGTTCCTTACCTGGCTGCAATCCAAGCCCTCCATCGAAGAAAGACCAAAGAGACTCTCCAAAAGTTCAGGTGGAGCCGAACGGCCAGCCCATAGATACAGACTCAATGCGTCGTCCAACAGGAACACTCCGTCGCACTGCAGCCGTTCGATCGAGAGGTTGACCACTGGTGGAAGCACAATCGACGTCGCGTCGGTACCCTGTGTGTCTCCAGTACTTTGGTCTTCTACAGCTGGCAGACCCGCTTCAGGCGGCATGTTGTGCAGAGCAAACATGCGAGGGTAGATGAACGCCTGCGATAGCTCGACAGGCATGTTGTTCAACTGCAGAGCACAGGTCGAATGTCAGTGACCGTTCGCCCAGATGACAGCGCGACAGCTAACAGCAAAGTGTACCTCATATTGCAAAAACGTGCGCTCATCCACATGTAGGTCGGTGCCACCGCGCAAGACTGAGTTTTTCATAAGAGACATCTGCACGCACAAAACAACGCATGAACGTCAGACTCACTGCGCAACGACAACCACGTGCTGACTACCATGGACTCACGATGTAAAGAGGCAGGAGCTGCATTGACTCGGGCAGGTGTAACTGGTAACCAGAGGATTGCTTGGCACCATATGTGCCCGAATTGCGGTAGGCACGAATGATGTCTACGCACTGGGCCTGCAGCCGCGACCGACCACTGTCCAGTCCTGTCTTGAGTGCAACTTCTAGTGCATTCTTGGCCATGATGTTGCACAGTGCGTCTTGATCGACCTGGCGGAAGAGCTCTGCGAACACTGTGATGCGGTCAGGCAAACAAGCAACACTCATCAGCTCCTCGACCGATGATGCCAGGCCCTTGTGCGACAACGTACGTTTGGTGACCGGAATGCAGATCGTGTGCACACGGATACGTCGTTCACCGCCCGAGTTCGTGTACAGCAGACCAGCCTGCACGGAGATAGTCGAGGATGTTAAGAGAGCATCACTGTGCGTGATCTCGACCGCAAAAGTCGAATCTGCATTGCACGTCGGAAGCGCTAGTAGATCCGGTCCACGCAGAAAGAAGTTGCCATAAAAGTTTGCGAGGCGCATGCCCTTTGTGCAGCGGACGCGCATCACGGCTTCCCAAGCAGTCTCACGAAGGAGGCAGTGCGCCAGCTCTTTGCTAAATTTCTCCCCGTCTCGCTCAGCGTTGAAGCTAGGATAATGGTACACTTGACCTGCCGAGTATTTTGCCAGCGAGCCTGTAGCACAAGAAATAGCTTCTCGTTAGCTGGAACGAGTTACTAACTATGCATACACTCGATAGTTTGGGCAGGACAGCTCACCCAGGGAGGCGATATCCATATACATCGAAGAGAACAGAAATAAGTCCACGCTGACTTGTTGGCGACAAAAGTCAATGGCATTCGTGCGGTAGAACCTGGATGGAGCAATCCACATGGCACACGAACAAATGTCACTCCGGTTACCAACAATGTCTGCCCAAAAATCCAGGAGTAACAGGACGCAAGTATCGTTGTACGTGTCTATGGGTTGAAGTAGGGTGTATTCCTTGTCCGTCCCGTATACACGAGGGTTGTCACGGTTTCGAAGCGCGCCATTTCCGGTCGATGGCAACGAGTTTTGGAAAACGATCATTTTACCACCGATCGAGGACTGCATCAATACCCTTGTTAGCACACAATCCAACACATTTATGCACATCACATACAGCGATGCGTACCATGAGCTTGAAGGCGACGCGGATCGCAGGTCCCAGAGCGGTTTCGGCAGAGTTCGCGTGCTGGTGGATAGTGGGCAACGTTTCGAGCAACATCTCAACGACCTCGCGCGAGTCACTCAAGTTTACGAGCAACTCATCCGGAATGGGGATAAAGAGCTCTTCTAGATCAGCTACCACCATCATCTGTGGAGCCTTCAATGTTGACTGCGACAACGATATTCGTAGACACACGATGCGTCAGCAATCAATCAACCCAAGCATACGCCCGAGACAGAACTATCGCACTAACCTTCAGGTTGTAGAAATGAATCGTGCTGTCGTACGTGAGGAAACCGACGCGCGTCCGCGGTGCACCCGGAAGGTGATCAAGCTGTTCCCTGATCGTGCGAACCGCGACCTGCACGGAGCCGGATGCAATAGCAGTCGCTGAAACGTCAATGACAAACACGTAACAGGGAGGCTGGGGAGGACGCATCATGTACTCTGACGGCGCGATGATCTCCACACTGCCTGAATGAAGCTCTGGGCGTTCATCCCGATCCTGTCGCAGCTGATTCGCATTCAAATGGCAGAAGTACGAGCTGGCAACGTCATTCGACACACCACAAAGGTTGCAACGCCAACGACGGCCATTGTCCACCCACTGGACAAACGGATTCATGTACGTGCGGCAGTGGCGGCAACGCACGACTCCAGCAGGCCCGAAATTGACTACTTCCAGGTCACGTCCCGTTTCCGTCGGTGCCAATGGTCGAATAATAAGTCCGTACGTCAGTTTCGACTTGTTTGCATCGTCGAGCGAGTGCGGCAATGCTTTCACAGTGAGCCGCATGAACCGCGAGTCGCACTGCGATGCCATCATTGTTTCGCTCAAAGGAAACTCCTGTTGCATCGATTGTCCTTGAAACCCTGGCTGTCCCCCATATCCGTCTATCACTCACAAGCGACATCAACAAACGTCAGTCCTCGTACAGTACCACAGCAGTCGTTGACAACGCACTGTTTGTCATGTCATGAGGTTGCTGAAAGTTTCCACTTGGAAGGCTGTTGCTGTACGCCGCCGATGACTGCTGCTGCTGCTGGTTCATCATCGGAGGCGGCATCTGCTGCTGCATCTGCTGTTGCTGGTTCATCATCGGAGGCGGCATCATCTGCTGCCGCTGTGGCTGTTGCTGGTTCATCACCGAAGGCGGCATCATCTGCTGCTGCTGTGGCTGTTTCTGGTTCATCATCGGAGGGGGCATCATCTGCTGCTGTGGCTTATTCATACCTGGTGGAGCCATCCGCATCGTCTGTTGCTGCATCTGCTGCTGCTGGTGGTGCTGGTGATTCATAGCAGGTGCAGGACCAAGTGCCGGTGGTGCCAGGCCTCTCTGCGGCCCCGTAGCTCCCACGCCAGGGCGTCCCTGCACTCCCATATTTGCAAACTGCTTTGCAAGTCCGTCGGTCGGGTGGTCGTGGCCCATGTGTCCAGCAGCTGGTAGAGGTCCAGGCAAAGCACCACGCGGTCCTTGTTGACCCATCGAAAGTCCGTTGTTCAAAGCTGGTGCAACGTGCTGCTGCATCATTGGGGCTCCGTTCACTGGCACATTGCCAGCCACTGGACGGCTATAGCCCCCACCGCTGCTTAGCGGGGCCCCCGAATGGGTACGAAACGGCTGCGCCGGCAAAGCAGTGGGCTGACTCACGGGTCCCGATGGGAAGTCGCTGCTCCTGCTGGTGGCGCTAGTAGCGGCAGACGCGTGGGTCGCATGGGCGCTGTATTGCCCGCTCTGGCTGTGGGTAGTGCCGCTGGGCGCGTTGTTCCCCGAGTGTGGCGCGTTCATGTGCGCTGGATTGAAGGGGCGGAACGCCGCATTGGCACGCGGCGGCTGCTGCTGCTGCTGCTGTGGTGGGAAGCCGCCGGGTGGTCCGTACGGAGGGGTCTGCATGGCCGGCGCTCGCACTCGCTCGTGTTGGATCGCTCTCTCTCTCTCTCTCTCTGAGTCACTCTATGGAGCTCCACGCGGCTATAAGAACGTGCGACTGAGAGCGAGGGGGTGGCATCGAGATGATCTTAGGACGACCTTGGGAAGACATTTTGGACGGGTGTGCGGTGTGCGGAGCGGTCGTGCCCTGTCATTGGTTCATATCCTGATGTTTACTGAAACGGCGCGAGTCTCTAATGTGCGACTCGGAGCTCGTCCGTTTTGGCGGACAAGTGCGTAGAAGGGAAATGCTATTGTTGTTGTATGTGCCTTTTGGTTGCATACCGAGTTGTCTCGTGAATGTGACACCTCTTGATTCAAAGAGATGAGCTGT